GTGCAAGCCAAATGCTTGTTAAAGGGCGGGTTCGCGATTGTTGCTGTTGTGCGGTTGCTTCGTGGCAACCACAAAAACAAATCAGCCGTAGTGGAGCGGAGCGAGGCATCCGCATCGGCATCTCCATCTGCATCCCGGCAATTGGCAAATTCGATTTGCAATTTTTGTACTAACGCCGGAGGATCCGCGCAAGAGCTGCTGGGTTGAGCAAACAATTTAGAATGAAGTGCAATCGGGAGTCAGAAAGTTGATTTGCAATTTCATGGCAGCGGCAATTTGCACCTCATCATCATCATTATCCCGGCACATCTTTCTCCGGGTGATGATCTTTCAATCGTTCAATCAGGCGGTCCAGCGAGGCGAGGCACGTGCAGGTTGCAACCTACAACCCGTAACCCGTAACCCCTAAACCGAAGTCCATAGCCCCACAGACCGAGAATTACAACGATCTTTAGGATGTCCCACATATTTCTCGCTATCTCCCAACAGAAACAAACTATTCGTATCATTTTGGAATTTCACCGGCTATCGTGGCCGCAGCTGGGCAAACCAGGAAGTCTGCCTGCAACAAGTTGCCGCAGCAATGAGAAAAATTTCGCTAGATAAATAATGCATATCTCACGCACTAGCCTCGCGGTCCAAAGTTGAATTAAGGCTCTGTATTACACAGATAAAAATGTCGTTTTAATATCAAATTTAATAAATTAATAAGGTATAAATATGCATACTATCGTTAAAGATATCCAAATACCTAGATAGATTTGGCAACGAAATACTTATACTACTTTTGCTAAACATTAAAAATAACATTTGAGAAGTCCAAGTAAAATCGAATTGGACCTTTGTTATTTAATGATTTATTTAATCAAATTTATTATTGAAAAATAAACCTGAATGTTAGAGTAACACATAAACAATATTGTTTATGAAGTTACATTTTTATATGACATTATCGGTTCGAATAGTTTAAAAATATTACTTTAATATTGTTCTTAATGTTGTGAAGGAAAATAACTTGACCCACAGATTTTGTATATCGAATATGCGACCAAATTTGGTGACATTTTTCTCGGTGCAGCTGAAGTTACTGCTTTTGGCCGTTTAATGAAGGCCTAGATCCGATGCCTGGCCATAATAAGCAATGGCCAACAATGAAATCTTTGGCTCCAGCTCAGGCCAATTTATGCGATGGCTTGCAGTCTGGGTTTCTGGCTTTCAGGCTGCATTTTATTTGGCTCTGCTGCTTTTCAGCTCCCTTCTCGTGGCTGCGTGTTTCGATTTGGCGCGATTGCTTGGTTTAATTTAAGCCCTGAGCTCGCAGCCTCGCCGAAAAGATTCATTAATGTTTGATTTTAGGTGCTTTTCTATTTACTTTTTCCCAAGATCAAGCGAGATTTACGCCAAATTGCCAGTGCCCGGAGCCTGGGCGAAGTATCCGCCGCTGTCCCGCAATCTCCTCAATCTCCTCGATCTCGTATTCCTCCCCCGACTTTTAGTTTTACCGTTTCCGATGCCGTTTTGATAGACAGTACGGGCCAACAGCAAAATTGGTTCATTAAATGCAACTGTTTGCTTAGTGGAATCGAAAAAACACAGCCACAGATAAACATCCCTGTTCTAGTTTTCTACTCCCACGAAATTAAGTGAAATCGAAATTAGGAAACTTTCCTATTCCGATCCAGTATTGCGGAAATACAATTGATTAACCTAAATACCCTTCTCGAGTTCAGAAAGTTCTAGATTTATAATATTAAAATTATTAAAACTTGAACCTGACTAGATTTGTGTTAAGTATGAATGTAATAAATTGGAACTTATTTATAAACGGAAAATGAAAAATTATATACATTTTCTTATTGATTTCAGGTTATGATAAAAATGTTTATTGTTTAATGGTATCAAATATAAAATATTTTTAAGTTGTTTTGTGTCAAAATGAGTTTAGGCAGGCAATCATATAAAAAGTTTATTGAACTCAATCTGAATAAGTGACATGATTCATCGAAACCTCATTCAAACTTAAGAGTTCAGATGAATTATAGAAAAAAGTTTCTTAAATTTGTTTGCCAACTTTTTATAAAACATGATTTTATGGTTGTGTCTTGTAAACTGCTATGCATGCTTTTCTGGGAGAAAATTTTAGAATTGCGGCAACTTTTAACGAATAAACTGATTTTTAAACCCCAAAGGACCTTTTTTCAACTATATAATTTTAAATTTTAAACTATTTTTCTTTTGCTTATAACAGGTTATGCAGTTTAAACTATTGTAAAAGTAACAACAAAACCAAACAAAACACAAGTATAGTTGAAAATATATATTGCTATAGCTCCAAGTATGTAGATCGGACTTTTTTTTTGCATTTAATTCACTAAGTCTTTGGCTTATTGAATAGAAAAATTTAAAACTGCCATGAAGAGCCTCCATTCCGAATTCCTAAAATAAGGTTTGCAAATGACTTTTAACTAGAGTATTACTTGCAACCGGTTTTTAAAGATGCCCTTAAATGTGACAGCCCTCCGATCAAACTGCCTGGTAAATTATTGTTTAAACATTTACAAATTGCACCCACATGATGGGCAGCACAAATAATAATTCGATAATGACCAGGAAAAGACGCGTGGAGTGGGAAATTACAATGTGCAACCCGTCCAAACGCCACGCGATGAAATGACCGCATTAAATACTGCGGGAAATGTAATAAGCAGGCGGAACATCTCCCCCGCTTATTAATATCGTTACTTATTGCCTTTCCATCCCCAAAATTAAGCTGACTAAGCAATCATTAAACATTTGTTAATAGGACAGCTAGAAACCAACTGGCCGCCCTTTGTTATTGTTTTCGCAAACATATGGATCTGGTTGGAAATCTATATTTACTCACTTTTACATAGCACCAAATGGTTCCTCGATTTTCACACTTTTTGTTTCTCTTCACAATTTTCAGTTTAAGCTCATAGTTTATTGGTTTTTTGCTAATTTTTATTTGCTAGCAGCAATATGTTGTTTATTTCTTGCTTTAAGTGGGACCACACACAGGTATTCCCAAAATACCACCTGAAATACCGCCAGTGAACGAATACCAAACAGCTGTTGCCTGCACAGTGATTTTAAAGTACTCAAAAATATTTTGAATTATTTTTTTTTAGTACGTATTACATATACGTACTAACTATAACTATACGTACAGGTTTTTAATGATAGTTTTAATTGTAATTGGTTTTAAATAATAGAGTTTGGCGTTAAAGTTTCAAATGCAAATAATTAAAAAACAATTTAATGTTTTTTCTTAAGTGCTTTGTAAACAATAGATTTCAAAATAAAAATCATCAAAAGCTTAAATGCCGCAACGAATCAACTAGTGTTACTAAACCTATAAATTTGAGGTATTAAAAAGCATTTGTAATTTTTTTGTAAAGTGCGTTTATAATGGATTTTGAATAATAGATTTGAAGGTAATAAATAACAACAGCTTCGTTATAATATAAGGGACCAGTACCGCAGATTAGTTGGGATAATGCACGTCTACATAGCCTGCACCAGCATCAGAAGATCTTCTTTTAAGTAGTTAAGATCCGCTTCAGCGGGAGAAGGCACTCCATTTGCGCCAAACAGCAGCAAGGAGTTGGGAATGAGTCTGTCAGAGAGAACATATTATTAATAAAGAAATAAGGAACTCTGATAATTTTATCCCACTCACTTGCAGTCGAATAATGTCTTTTCCAGGTCTTCCTCGCCCAGTTTGCCCTCGCTGGTGGCCACCAGGCTAAAATCCAGGCTTTCGTCTGCCAGGCAAGATTGCACGAACTCAAACACATCGGCTATTTTCTCGTACACATTGAAAGTGCCCTGGAACATGATTCACTTATTACCCAAATTGCTCATGAATGATATCATCCCTTATAGGCTTACTTGTATAAAGAGTCCGTTGGGAAATTTAACCCTGACTAAAGCGTATCGATACATGCGCAAATTGCGTTGCTCCTCGCGTTCCCGCATGGCCTTGGTCCTCAGCATCTGAGACTGGGCAATGGCCTCCGATCGCAACTGCTGCTCCTTCTTGATCTCCTCCGGCGCCAGGCGATAGAATTCGTCGGGTAACACCACACGCCGTGCTTGCGATGGCAGCAGGACCTTTATATTTCGATCCAACTCTAGGGGAATGATCTCCGAGTTCTTGAGAGCCTCAACCAGCGTGGGCAATTCAAGATTCTGTTCCTTCTGCTCCAAGGTCCACAGCAAGAAGGGCTCTTCATCGATCTTTACCTCACTAAAGCCAGCTGCTTGCAGAACATCCAGGGCACCCTCCACGTAGCGCACCTTCTCACTGAAGATCTTGTTTGACATGCGTATCTTGCAGAACTTTTCCTCCTCGGGATTCTTGATAAGATTCTCCAGATATCGGATAAGCGTGGCATTGCACTCGTCGGCCTTCTCCTTGACATTGCAATTGTGGATGATAAGGCAAGCGGAGAGACCGCGATCTGTCTCCATCTGCTGGTACAGGAACTCCTTAATCCGAGCCTTCCACACGCTTTTGGGCAGAATCTCATCGCTAATCATGGGGCAGCGGAAAAAGACGCCCTCGCAGGCCAAGTTGCGATGGTCGCCAACGGAAGGCAAAGAGACCGTGCTGGTGGTTGAGGCCGAGGCTTCCTCCTCCTCCTTCTGCCGACGCTCTGCCTCCAGTTCCCTTTTAGCCTGAGCCTTCACAGCCGACAGCGAGGTGTTGAAGTCCCTGGAGGTCTTCTTATCAATGCGAGACAGTGCAGCATTTGCAGCCGCCCTGGCCTCGTTACTCAGATCGTTTCGCTTGGGAGGCACATAGGCTTCGTACTTTTGGCGGGAACTGCTGGAAGGAGCCTCCTGTTTGGTGGAATTCAACTTATGTCCTGCGCCCATCGAGCTGCCCGTTAGCTTGAGCTGTGAATATATTAATTAGCCAATGATTTATCTTATTTTGGTAGGGGTACCCACCTTAAAGGCTGCCTCCTCCTTCTTCCGCGAAAAAAACTTCTTGATCTTGGACATGGTTTCTAGATGCGCGGCGAGTGTTCTTTGGGCAACTTCAACTTGGCCACCGACAATTTAAGCTCCTCGATTTCCTTGAGAGTGCCTGAAACGTAAAACATCTCTGTAATCAACTCAAATGCCCGAATTCCACCCTATTCTTACTTGGCCTGACAAACTTCTCCGTGATGACTTGGCCGTAGACGGACCACGAATAGCCGGCTAGGACGCAGGTACCCAGGAGCAGGACGATCAGAACCTTTAGAAGAGTAGCCTGCAAATCGGTGAAGGCAATCGGTCCGTTCTCCCAACGAAAATCACCGGTAAGCGATTCCAGATTTCCACGCAGATCGACAGCTGCTTTCAGTGCAACGCCAGCAAATTGCTCCACTTGATGCGCAATCGACTGCAACGTTGAATTGAACGATTCCACGTAGAAATTGAAACTCATTGCCCGCTGAGAAAGTGTCTAGCTATTGTTTAAAAACGTTTTTTCGACGCTCCTTTGTTTATATACGCTGCATTATCCTCTTTTCTTCCTTTTTTGTTTCACATGTGGCTGTTTATTGTCTAACTGGAAATACCTTTGATCTTACACAAATGTACTAGAAGAAAAAATACTAAAATTAGTTTTATCGATAACTTTCGTCTCCTTTATAGTGTTGGCGAGTGTTGAAAGGTATGCGTTTTAGCGCCTTCTTTGAATTTGAATTGCTGTTCCAGAAGTATATATTTATTTAATGCCCTTAGGGGCATGACCTCATTCAATTTGCCTTGATTTTTGCACCCGCATCCTGCAATAAATTAATGCACCTGCCTTTGACCTTATTGGGTTCCTCTTTTCAATTAAAGACTGCACTTAAAAAATACATTCTTTACATTTATTTTTATTTAAAAAATGATTTTTTATTTTCATTCTTTCTAACGTGACCCGAAAAATTTACAATTTAAAAAAAGCAAAAGTGTGGATTTTTTGAAAGCTAATAGAAATTTGTTTTCAAATGTAAAATGAATACAAAGACTTGTTATATTGTAATCATTCAGAAGAAATATTGAATAATGTTTTTATAAAATTAGAAAATATATGAGATTGATTAATTTCTTAATTAAAAAATTACCATATCGATGGTATCATTAAACAAAATATAAGAAAACAGGAAATATTTTAAATAAATCGTATTTTTAATTTGAAACATTGATTGGCTTGAACAATACAAAACAATAACACACGCTTAATAAAAAATAGTACCAGCATGTTTTCGATTTGCTAAAGCCATCTGCAAACTGATCTGTTTTTCTCCTGTGTGGTTACATAATTATGTTTCTGGAAGCACACGCCCATTATTTATATGCAGGGCCAGCTGTCGTAATTGAATGATTTTCGATCGTTTCGGCAAGTGCTTTTGCTTCCTGTAATTTTCGGCGATTTGTGCTGGGCATCTCTTCCTTTCGGCAGTGTTCCCTTTTCGCATCTGCGATTGATTTTCGATGGCATCCTTGAACACGTTTCGGGGCAAGTGATTTAGCCAAGGAGGAGGAGGAGGAGGAGGAGGGGGCGGTGGCACCCAGGAGGATCACCATCAGCGGGCGGAGATCGCGCTCCAGTGGTGCGCTGCGGGTTCAACAGCCAGCAGAAGCGCCGAAAGTCGAGCGGGGCCAACGAAGAGAAATCTCTTGCAGCTTATGGCTTCCGTATGCGCCATGCCTCGCGCTCCACTGGCTTCGTGGAGACGTAGACATCCCATCTTATTCTGCTTCTCCTCTTTGGTTTGGGTTTTGTGGCCGTTTGGCTTTCTGTCTTTCTGGCTTTCTGCAACTTCAATTACACCAGCGACATAGGCAGCAGACACAAATGTCTATTCTATTTCGCTTTGCCTTGGTTTATTTATGCTGGCTCATTTTTCTGTTCACTATACTCTGCTCTGGTCCGTTGGTTTCTGTTTGCCAGCGCAATCAGCGGTCGGCAGTCTTGGGATTTGAGTCCGGGGCGTGGCTGCTGAATGTTCCATTGGCATACCCATACCCATACCCATACCCATGGCCCATCTTCCCAAGACCACTCTGTCCAGGGCCATTATATCTATCACCATCACGCGATATGTTCTCACTTGCAACCAACCTCCAACTACTAACCATCATTCAACGTCATCCCCAGCCATTCCGGCCCATCGCATCAGTTGCAATTGCAGTTCGGCTTCTCCGCTGTTTTTGCGCAATTAAAATTCCGCAAATGCCTCGAAGGGAAGGGGCAGAGGGTGGGAGGGGGTTCTGGGCACCCAGAGCCGTCGAAGGAATGCAAGACTGGCGCGCATGCGCCGCAGTCCGACGCCCGACGTCCGACGTCCGTCGCATTGCAATTGTTGTTATCAGCCATGCGCCGAACCTGAAAAACTAGTTTCGATTGCCAGCTGAAAACGGAGCGGTGTGTGGCCAAGACTGCGAAAGAGAGAGAAGAAAACTGGGGGTCCTAGAGCTCCAGCTCCTGGGGTATGCTGGAATCCAGGAAAATATCTCAATACTTATGGTGTGTTAAAGTGGATTTGGACTTTGAAATTATATAATTCTGGAAAGAAAAAGGGACATACACAAGTTTAAAGGTAGCATATTCCCAATTTTAAATATATATGATTTTATATATTTACGATTTTAAAATTAAGAGGCAACTCATTATTTTATTATTTAATATTTTTGCAAAAGGTTAACTAATACAGTTCAGTTTTTTTACATTTTAAAATTATATAACAAAAAACAAATCAAAATTAATTTTAACTTAAATATATAAAATATATAAAGTAAAAACCTTAAAATTTTCATATTTTAAAATATACCGCATTAGAATTATCTTAAAGTTTCTAAAATTAAATTTCTATCGTTTATTGAATTACATTTTAAAGTTTCAAAACCAAAGTAATTCTTATATGTACATTATTTAAAAAACATTATCTTGGCATAAGAAAATGTTTTAGCCAACCCTCCTTACAAGATATTCCACCTGTCGATCAGTCTGCTCACCTGCATTCCGGCTGGCGTACTTTTTGCGCAAATTTCATGGTTGGGAAAGCCAGTAAAAGCCTCATCCATTTGGCCAATGCCTCGGCTTTTCTTTTGTTTTCTCCCGTGGCCAAAACTGGTTGTGCCAATTTATGGCCAACATTGCCGTGACTTTGTGCACGGTTCGCGAAAGTCAAGGTAAGAGACACTGCCGAAGCCAAGGGTTTCCTTTCCTGCTGACTCTTTTTTTCTTGTTTATTTTCTTATCTTCAATTGATATTGTTGTCTTGATTGGGGGAACGGGAGTGGCGGGGGAGGGGAATCTGGCTCGCTCATTAAAATTTATGCACAGGAAACGGAAATGCGGCAGACGACGAGCAGACACACAGTTGCGTCTCTAGGCCTCCTTGCTAGCCTGCCCGATGCCACTCCCCCCGCCCCTTTGTGCCACAATCTTTGGCTACGCAAGCGGCGTGACAAACAGGCAGAAAGTGTCACTCAAATTGGCCGCAAAATTGAAAGTGATGACACGCCCACACAGTTGCGTTGCCTTGCATAAGCAAGCAATTGGATGGGAAGTGCAAGAGATTGAGGGACTGCGGATTGGAGGAGTTTATGGACTACACAAAGAGAAAATGAGTTTTGATAAACAATTGTTAAAATAATAATTTTTTTGAGACCACTTTAAGCAAAACACTGGTACTAGGACAATTTACATTAATAAAAGTATACTTTTCTAACAAATTTGGAAGTGCTGAACCCAAGTATGAACCAAATGTTTCGTCGGGTTTTTTGGAAAATGGACCTAAAAGTTTAAAAAATTACGAGTTTATTTATTTTTAAACAGACGAATCGATTTATGTTTTATAACAATCTTTAGCAAAATTTGCAAGTGCAATTTTAAGTCATTTGAATTTTTCGTTCCCAACAATTTTGTTTTATTTGTAGTGGAGTTATTAGTAGAAAATAGAGACAGCCGCATTTTAAACAATATTTGTATTGGATATGTAGTTGATAGTCCTAGTTGCTTAGAAATAAATAATAAACTTGGACATATTGTTGAAGAATTAAACAGAAATTATTCTGCTCGTTTGGTAACGAGATTTATAATTGTTTTATTCGGCTACAAGTTTGTCTTCCATTTACAACAAATTTAAGTAAAAATAACAAAGATGTTTGTTAAAATAAATTAAATTATGAGATTTAAAACATAATACAAATTGAATACATATGTTTTTTTTATGTATGTATATATATGTTTATATTTTTTTATTAGTAACTTAAATTCGTAAATCATTTTGAATTGTTGTTGCTATCAAAACATACAATTTTGTTCTGCGTGGAAGGGTGTTTTCATCTTGATTGCCGTTTGTACAAGGAGCGAATCATGAATGGAGGATCGCATTAATTATCGTATTCATGACTGCTGCTCGTATCTATTAGATGACTGCACTTGTTGCAATGAGGGGGGAGGTTGTCCCCTCACCATCTTGGGCCCCCGCTCCCCCCACCGCCCTGCACCATCCTTCACACTCGACTTACCCGGGCAACAAAGTTCGTTCCCATGAACTTCCTCTGGTGTGTGGCTATCAGACCGCTCTCTATGCATAATAGTTTCCCAGCCATCTAGCCAAGTACCCAAGTATCTCCATCTCTTTGTGTGTGGGTTCTGCTGGCAATGACAGTTTCTTGGGCTGCCCTGCGACTTTTGTCTTGGGCATTTCCCTCAAAAGACAACAAGAAAAACAATTCACACACAGCTTTTCCAGCTCCCATGAGCGTGGGAGTGAGAAAGAACCCGAAACCCGAAAAAACAAACCGAAGAAAAAACGCAGAAATCCAATCCGCTGAACTTCAAGTGCTCTTGAATTCGCTGAGAAATATTATTTCATCTAATGTGGCCGGAAGTCGCCAATGTGATTGTGAGGAAAGAATTTGGCCCCCTGGGAGGACCGACGCAACATGATTCCTTAACTTGAGATCTGAATTCGAAATATAGTAATTACGCTTTCAGAATTTGACTTTCCCGCTGTGGACCGCCCGAAGCTTACGAAATACTTTTGAGATCTTCCACCAAGGGGTCTCGTGTTTTCTATTATTCCTAAACCTACTAATGGTGTCCAAAACGTCGCCTTATTTGGGCTTGGGATACTTTATGGCATCCGCTCCTCTTCTGACTCACCTGCGTGGGTCGTAATGATAAGTTTTCCTCATGCATTGGTTCGATAAAGGGCTGCGATCATAAATTCTTTGATGCTGATGGCCCCAAACATGTTTAGCATATTCTTTCGGACCAGAACAAACAAACGAGAAGCGAACAACAAGTGGCTAACCCAGCATTGTGTGTGGCTTCGAAAACTTTATCCATATACATACATATGTTTTTTTTTTTTCTGTTGATTCACTTCATTTGTTTACCCCAAGGGAGTCGGAGTTTCGTGGGAAATATCGCGCCAGTGCAGGCAATGAACTAATTAAAAAATATAACATTGCCCCGGAGTTCTGGAGTCTTTCGATTGTGCAATTGAAAACCCATCCTATCGAGCTTCCTGCGACCGAGCCACTTGAACACGGAGTGAAAAGATCTTTTTGGCTTAGTCATTTCCTCCCCGAAACGAAATTCAATTACGGCGCCGGAAAAGCGGAAAAAGCATTTCGATAAATTGGCAAAAGACCGAAGACTGAAGCCCGGTAGCCGGTCTATGGTCTATGTGGTCAATGGAATTATGTGGCATTGGTCGGAAAACAGTATTACAATCGACGGAACCGTCGTCGTCGTCGTCGGTTTCCGTCCCTGTCCACTTCCGTCCGTTTTTATTGTTTTCGCACCTCGCCTTCCGTTCGCCTGCCAGCGGATATTCTACTTTACATAAGCGGCATTTCCTCAATTTTCCCGGTCTTTATATGATTTACTTGATTTGTTGTTTTGTTTTGCTCGCCGCTTTCGCCACAATTCGATATATCTTGCTGATCGGTCATAGAAAGTAGTTATGGTGGCCGCACTTGATCAGAATAAAGACACTGCAGGCCAAGATGAAAAAACTGAGTGCCAGGGACATGTATTGTTCTAGACAAATCAAATTGGAATGAAATATGTATCTTAAGAAGCATAGACGCGTACTTACTGATCTCTTTCAGGGGTAGATATTCCCTAACATCCGTTTTAGAGGGTTTTTCGTATAGGTTTCGGTACTCTTCAAGCAAAGTCTCTGATTTGAGACGCACTGGCTCTCTGTAATCCTCATCACCGTCGTCCTCCGTTAGGAAAGCCTCCAGGTCCGTGGAATTCCGGCTGAGGCCCATCTGGATTAACCGATTCTCCTGCGATTTAAGGAGCATCTCGCGGGCTTCACGCTGCCTTTTTTCAAATTCGTCGGGATAAAGTGCCTCATCGACAGCGGAAACCAAGGCCTGTTCGATCACTAATCTCTGATCGCAGTTCGGTGGAATAAAATTTCGCGGTAGCTTCGATATGCAGGTCATATATAACGAACTAGCCGACTGGTAGATCTTTACAGGAATAAAGCTGAGACGGAAGAACGACATTAAAATTAAGTACAAGGAAGGGAGCTCAAAAAATATTAATTGCAGCCCTTTATACTTCTTAAAATAATCCCCGCTTGACTGCATTTTGGAATTTGGCTCTTTTTTTGTTATATAGTATATCTTGTTGTAAAAGGTATACAAAAGTGTTGTTTTGATTTTTATATCCAGGCACTTTTGTTCATTTTTTAATTTAAGTAATTTTGTTATTCGTAGATAGTATTAAGAAAGAAGAAATTTGTGAACTTCGAGATCATTTATTTTCATTTTAAATACTTTATATTAAACATTGTGAAAGTTTTAGCTTATTGTGTTTTTTAAACAAAACTTGCAATCAAAATTTCATAAGTTCAACGAAATAAAATGTTTTTTATAGTCATGTCATTAAATAAAAATATATACACAGAAAAGTTTAAATATTTGTATATATAATAATCTAATCTAATAAACACCTGAACTTAGGAACTTCTAAGTATGTATACATGTAATCAGAAATTTTCCGTGTTGATTAATATTCGAACACATATTTAAAAAATATGAAATATATATAATAATATTTTTTAACTTTAATAATATTAAGTTCCTATTAGGATCCCTATAAGTTAAGAGCTCGATTTAAGGAATTTCTAAATAAATGAAATTTGGAATTATGAAAACACAATTTAAATAAGTAACAACTTATTTTTAATAATCATTAAGTTCAGATTACATATTGTACACTCATAAAAATCTTAAAATATATTATAACTTAAACTCAAATATAAAAAAAGAATAGCTCTTAGCCGTGAAAGATGAAATTCCATGAACTTGGGTGCTTTTATCTATTTCTATTGGTTTGTTTTAACAGACAACTTGACCTGCCCAAATTTGAGTTATTTAGGTTCTCCCGAATTGTAATAGGAGTTCAAATTCCTGTTGTGCCTTTTTTGTGGTCTTTGGATGCAGAGGCGTCAGCTGGTGGACATGATCGTGGACTGTGCCCCTGGCCGTGGCATGTGTCAGGTTGCGACATCTGTTTGCCGCCTCGGCTTGTGTTTGGGTTTCTGTTTTACAAGGTAACAACCGAGCAGGGAGCTCGGGTCTGGCTCATTTGTCTCACTTCCTTTACCTTTAACTACATCCCGGATGCTCCCGAAAAACCGACAACCGAACTGCACTAAATGCAAACTTACAAAACCCAGCGACAATGAGCCACATGGAGCGAAAAAGCAGAAGCAGTCATCAGGCAGCAGCAGCAGGAAGAGCATCCAAATGTATCTGTATCTGTATCTGTAAATGTATCTGCGTATCTATGCATCTGTGTATCTGCCCATTCATAGGAGGCACAAAAAGAAAAACCCAAATGAAATGAGCGGATGCACGGGCGGATGGAGCGCTTTGAATTTGTATATATGCCATCGCTCTCTCACTCGCCCACACACGGATGTATCTTTCTATCTATCCGGGTTCTATTTGACTACCGATGCTGATTATCGTTATCCGTTATTGTTATTGTTATTGTTATTCTTATTGTCATAATTGTTCCGCTGCATTTTTTTGCAACAGCTGAAATTTAAATGGGAAAAATTTCGGATCCATCACAAATAAATTGCCGGAAGAGTTCCGTTTTTTTTTAGTTTTTTGTTTTCCCTTTTTACTGAAAAGTATTAACAATTTTAAAAATAAATATATCTTTAATTTTTCTCATATTTTACCTTGAACCCTACATTTTTACAAATAAATACCTACAAATTATAACCCACAAATAATGAATTTAAATTCTTCGTTTACCATTTCAAAATGTAAAAAAATAAATTGATTATTTTCTTTAAAGTCCATTATAAAAATAATGAACGGAGAAATTTAGATTTTAAATTAAAAAGATTTATGCCATGGTAAATCTACTTTATTTATTGCAATATAAATAGTGAACTGGCTATAATTTAATACCCAAACTTGAGAGTATTTGTCTTCCAATTATTTACCATAATTGCTAATATGGACCCATTTTATTTACGGAGAGAAACTCCAGTTTCCCCATAGCGTCTTACATTTTTTCGACTATTTGATTTCCCTTATTTTCTATGAAGTAACTCCAGTTTCCCCCCGATTTCTCCACCCTCATTAATCACACACACAAGAAAAGTCTTTGAAAAATAAACACTTTCTGGTGATCTATGTATGGCCCGGGCCTAAACAAATGTTAGCACTAACTTCTGGCCTGCAATAACAAAGAGTTTATTGCACTTGTCTGTGTGTGAGTGTGAGTAGTGTGGGGCTCATCTTCGTACCCCTTCCCTTTCAAATTTTCAACTCGGAGCATTTGTTGGGACTTAATGATGTGCTAATTGGGTAAGCGTATATTTCACTTGTCAATGTGAGTTCGTCTGGGGGAATTGTGAAAGACATAAACAGAACATTAAGTCCCAAAGAGAGCGGAATTACTAAAGACCCGTGCGGAATCGTTTTTTTGGGATTACTCAAGAAGTGTCTGCTGACCAAGGAGCCAGAGATCATAAATAAAGAAACTTAAAAGGTTGGCACCTCTTGCAGGGCCTTAATAAACCCATTTTACGTGAGTTTTGTTTGCGAAAACGTACACATTTTTTAACAAGTGTATACATATATATTAAAAAACTTTTAATTTTTGGTAAAAATATCTTCATGCTTTAGGTATAACTGGCCTTGAAACTTAGTGTTTGCGGTAACCACTTTTATTGGAATGTGGAATATCAAAAATGGAAAAAGCTCTACGTCTAAAAAAACTTGTTTTATGGGTATATCGGAAAATAATTTCAACATGTCAACGATCATCAATTTTCGAATAGTTATGGTCACCCATTTTAAGTTTATATTCAGTGGAATATTCAACAGATTCTTCTCTCTCAAAGCTACTAAGCAAATTGATAAGCGAAAACAATGGAAACCTAAAAATTATTGTTATCAAATTTTAAAAGTCCGGTTATCTCCCTGTATTTTTCCCTTTAAAGGTTTCTTCTTAAAAATACATTCTTTATATTTATAGGAAGTATTTTAATGTATTTTTGTTTTTTATTCAAACCTTGAAATTGTAAAATATTTAATTATTTTTACAATCAATATTTACCATTACCTTTCGATTCCAATAAAAACAACAAATTTTTCAGTTATAAAATTTCATTTTATATTTTTTTTATCAGATGCGAACTTAATTAACTAATAGGACAGCATTTTAACTTCACTCTTTTTCCGTTTTATTCAACTCAATTGGTTCGCCTTTCGTATGAAATGGGAACTCAGAGCAATCTTTGACAATATTGAAATGCAGGATATTATGGCTAAGTCTTAACTAACGAGAGCACTAGCGACTAGGCATTACAACTAGCAGAACTAGGCTAAACTAACCGAATCCTAGAGATATGTACAACCAGAGAGGGGTTTGCATCCGTGAGCTACCGGTACTGGTATCTACGAGAGCAGGGCCATTGCCCGGGCGAGTCGCACCCGGAAGTCCCGGTAGAGCATCTTGCCGCCCACGGGAACTCGGCACAGGTACATGTCCAGGCTCATCAGGCACAGGGCCTTCCCGTTCATGGGGAACTTCTGGGGCAGCTCGGCGGTCACCTCCAGTCCCTCGGAAACAGCCATTTTGATGAGCCACTTCCACACATCGGCTCGCGTCCAATCCCGCGGATCCAATGGCAGACCATCGGAGCCCATCGGATGCAGCAGACTTGTGGTCCCATCCTCGCTCAACAGTCGATTGTTGTTGTCATCGGAGGAGGAGGTGGTTGAGGATGTGGAGGCACTGATCAGGGTGACTCCACCGCGGCACTTGTCCAGCATTTGGTAGGGATGGTGGAGCAGGTGGCGCCTGGCGGATGGGGTGCTGGACCCATTGCCGCCCCACAAGTCCTGACCTCCATTCACCTGCGAGAGGTCCAAAGGTGGCACACGTCCGGCGTATTTCGGGTAGCTGGCCTCCACTTGCATTTCGCTTCCGTTCGCTGAGTTCTGGTTCTGGAATTGGAGTAGAAATTGCTGATTAATGGATGTGACTCATAGTTGGGGGGCGAAAGAGGGGCAGTGGGGAAGTTAGTACAACGGAAGTGCTTTCACAAGCCGGCAATTGTTTTAATCGCTGCAACAGAATCAGCAAAAAACAAAACAACCATATAAATACTAATGCGAACAATAATACGCATACGCCGAGTTGTGCACATCGTAAGTATGATGACCCCCTCTTAAACGATTAAAGGGTATGGGTATGGCATTACTCACGAGGTGTGATTAGCTCAAAAAGTTTCAAAGCGAGCAAATTTAAGTTTTTAAATTTTGTGGTTTCCTGCCCTTTTTGGAATGCAAAAACAAAATAAATTAAAACAGAGTTTAATATTTTTTGTTCGTAATAAATAGTTGTTTTTTGAACATGAATGATCAACTAACATAAGTGATTAAAAAAAATTTGAGCCTAATAGTGATTATCAACAATCACGTATTTTTAAAAATATTTTATAATATCGGATAAAGTATATTAAAGTTATATTAACTCAGTACAGCTAATATTGTCTCAGAAAAGACTATGCCATAAAAGTGTCAACAAGTGTATCTAGAATTCGACTGACCGTTTTATGACTTCCTTTTCGAATTTATATTTTGTTATTAAATCTGACCTTGTTGCCGGAATGGGCGGCATCAGCGGATTGAGGCGTATTGAGGCGGATCGCATGCGAAAGGAACCGCTGAATAATCTTTAACAAGCGGCTGTCATATCGATCGCCGGTCACATTTGAAGGGGCGATCCGGGGGCGGGGCTGGAGGCGGGGCAGGCGGCATGTGGCTGACATAGAAACACAGGCCAAGCTTCGATTACGATTACAAACAACATGGTCTGTGATGAGGGGAATCCGGGCCGGGGAAGTGAGGTCAAAACAGAGTGGAGCGGAAATAATTACCAGCCCAATTGGCAGCTGCGAATCTGGCGAGCAAAACAAAGAGCCACCGAAATGGGAATATGGCAAGGGATCGGGGGCATTAAAAAAATAAAAACAGCAAGCGAAACATCCGCCGACGGATCATAAAAGGTGTCAATGCGAATGTGGGTAAGAATGGGAATGGGAATGGGAATGGGATTGCAAATGGAAATGGCAATGGGAAGAGGAGAGAAGCCAGCGGAAGCCCAGCGCCGAGATTTCAAGCTCGCCAAAAGGGAACCTTAATAGTTTTCCGGAGAGCTTCCGTTCAAGGAAATGCGTAAGGAGTCGCAGCGGTTTTAATTACACAGTTCATTGCCAGCGAAACAAAAATTCCCACGAAACGTTATTCATACAAACAAAAGGAAACGGGGTTGGGCATACATTCTGATATTATCACAATAAATAACATTTTTAAAAAATAAACATAATTGATAAAGAAAGAACCAGTAATACTGCTTAGTATTTCTTCTAAAGACCCCTTACAACTTATTTAAATAGTTACTCATTCCTCGACTCAAAAGAAATTTTTTATAAGATGTTTTGGGCAATCAAATCTGGTAAAATAAATTGGTGCCTTATCAAAATCCAAGTTAATATTAACCAAGAAGAGAAAGCCTACGCCTATCAAACCGAAAGGTGAGTCAAACAGCGGATACCATAAATTATTCGGAATCCATGTAGGGCGACATTTTAGACACCATTAGATAGAAATAACAAAGACCTAAAAAAAACCCCCTGGTGAAAAATGACCCATAAATAATCTCCAAGTCTTGCCGATCTTCAGGCGGTCCACAGCAGGTGAACTATTTAATTGTAGCGGCTCTAAATTCAATTATTTCATTTTAATTTTGGTTCACAAAAAGAAAAAATATTATTAAACATAGTTATATTTCGGATTATGTTACTCAATTTATACTTGAGTTTGATTTAAAAATATATAAACCATTATTTTAACCCTGCTATTAGTGAGATTTACAATAATATTATTATTAATCACTCGAAAATATACAAAACTATATTGCCAGATGAGGCATTATAAAATGATCTTTTTGATTGTCATTTCATATTTTTACGTTATTTAAACGTTTTTAATGATCGAATCTTGTTGATCACTTTTATTTTATTTTATGTACATCAACTTCCGCCCACGTTAGAAGCCAATCAAAGCACTTGAAGTTCATTTCGGTTTCCCACTCCCACGCCCGGGAAAAGCGTGTGAAAAGCGGAAAAACGGAGCGGATTAGTCAGCAACTGGCAAATGGATCTGTCTGCGAGGCTTCCGCCGACTTCACCCCACCCACAACCGCTCGAGTTGGGTTCGAAGTGATTGATTCGTGTTGTCAGGGGAATGCACTATAGCATATATAGCATATGGCATTGACATTCGAGTTGATCGGTAGCTCGTGCTGAGCACGCGTTGTTTTCACGCTTCGCTTTGTTTTCGGTGGATGGTGATGGCAATGGTGGAAATGGAAATGGAAAAAGGAAAGGGAAATGGAAAAAGGAAAGGGAAATGGTTTTCAGTTACTATTTGGTTGACAAAAGTCATCGGCAGGAAGTCGAGTCGTCGGTGCAACGTTCGCATATCCGCCTGCGCACTCACACAGGATGCACTCCCCCACCATTTGTCCCTTTTTTCAAGGAAATGCCCGCAAATACACTCGCACAAATAAATGAGGAAATGCGCCAGTTTTAATTACATTCACGAAAATATCGCGTTCTGTGTTCGCTCTTCTCATGCTACTTAGTAGCTGCCACTAAACCAATACGAACACACACCGACACACTCGCCGACTTTCGACTTTAAGTGTGCAGAAGACAACGAAACGTAAAAAATCGTAATTTGAAGTTCGTAAAAATGACGCGTTTCCTGTCATTTGGCGAGCACTTTAAGTGCGTAATTTGCTATCCGCCAAATATATGTGATTCTCCGGGTCTGAGTGTGTATCTTGTCTGTTTTGTCGACGGGTGTTTATGCCCCACAATTTCCTCTTTCTCCAGGGTTCCTTTTCATCTTTGAGCGGCTTCCGCTCAACGAAACAGATTCTCCTGCGCGTATCACAATTTTTGTGAATTTATCTGGGCGACTTGCACGACATATAATTCCCCACAATTTTACAAAATTAACGTTTATTTAGTATATGTTTTTCGAATTATGAATAAAGTCAAAATAGGTCAAATATATTAGTCTTCATTTTATAAATAACAATCTTGTAATATGTATAAAAATATCCTGAATAATAATAAGTTGCGGATATTAAATGTGCAATAAATATCAAGTTTGTATTAAAAGCCACAATAATTACACAAAGAATAATTTAAATAAAATTCCAAAGCTACGTTTCATTTCTCTATTTCTATAAGATCACTTGGTTAATTGTTAATTTGTTAAAATTATATTCTAATTTTCTTGGCTAGCTTTCAAGGCAATAAACTTGTCCATTCATCGGAGTGCAGCAGACGACAGATGATAATCTGCTGAATATTGTTAAAAATAAACATTTTTTGCCCGTCTAGCAGTCGGGCAACCGAACCGGATTCCATTTATGCACATGCTGCTCTTGCTGTTGTTGTTGTGACGTATGTTTGCTGATATTACAAATCATGTAACGCCATCGAGGCAGCGAAAATGCATCGTCTGCCTGACGTCTGCTATCGCCGTCTCATTCGCGGCCTCTGTCCCCCTGTCTCGCCGTCTCTGTCTGCCCCCAACAGCCCCCATTCATCATTTCCCCTACACAGAGAAAGAAATACCCCTGATTTGCAAGATATAAATCTTGATCGTTAAAAAACAAAAAAAAAATAATAAAACGAAAAAATATCGGAATGATTTACAGATTATTTCTTTAGAACCTAAAATATAAATCATTATAGTCCTTTAGTTAAACTTTACAAAAAAATCATTATTTTCGAGTGTGAAATATTTAAAATATTAGAAAAAATTCAACTGCTTATTTATTACAAATAAATTACTTATAATAACAGCTAACTTTATTTTTAGATCGCATAAAAAATGTTTTTCAAAAAATATATTTGCTGATAAATTAAAAGTCAATTAAAAATGCCTTAAAACTAAAAAGATTCCTAAGCATTTCGTATTCCTTGGCTCAAGTATTTCTCCCAGTGTCTGGCACTGTGGCCCCCAATGTGTGATGGACGGATATGTGACGACTTTCGGTCTTGTTGTCGGTGATGCGTTTAAAAATATAAGTACTGTGCGGCCAAATGGCGCCAAATGCATTTCGAATCGCTTTGAGTCTTGTCAAATGTGCAGAAGTAAAGTAAATTAAAATGAAAAGAAAAGACGCTGGGAGGGGGGGCCTAAGAAAGGAGGGGTTTGGGTGCAGTGTGTTCACGCCTCGCACGTGTCACCGCGAAGTGAGGCATAGCAGCCGAGCTCCAGCTCCCAGCTCCAACTCCTCGCCCTTGGGTCAGCAGGAAGTGCCTCCTCAAATGCTTATCAAAAGTGGCATAGTCAGAGGTTTGTCATTTCCCTCTTTGCTTAGTGGTGGAGAACCGGAGCTGAGTCAGCTGGGAAATTAATTAAGCGGGCGAGGCCAGGTGCAGATCGTTCGGTTCACGGTTTCAGTCCTGCAGCTGCAAAGATTACACAGAATGCCTCCTGCAACCCTCGACGCCTATGTTGCCATATCCTTTGCGCATGCGCGCGCATTCAATGAGCGGCCGAAGAACAGAACAAACGAGAAACAGGGCAATAACTGGGGAAACCACTAAACCCATCCAGCCGAATGCATCTTTATCGACTTGGCCACAAAATTTCTGTTTGCAGCTGCCGTCTTGGCATTTTAAGTGTCGCTTTGTTAGTGCACAGGACAAAATAATATGCTGTTTTCGGATCAGTAGACGAGTTTGAGGTGGTCTTCCTTTAGAAACTGTGCCGTTTCAAAAGCAGCTTAACTTTGATACGATTTTCTTTGTTACCTTTAAATGTAGGTTAAACTTACTAAGCCTTAAGGTTTTTGTCAATCGTAAGGTAGATTAGCGTAAGATAAGATAAGTTCTTGCTTTATTTTGTAGGAAATAAAAAGAAATATATCCAACAAAATATAAATACAATTTTAAAAAGTGTCTCTATTACTTTTTCCTATCCAGTTCAAAAGTAATATTTCCTCATGCAAATGCTAGCTAGAGGCATTTCCTAAGGCCTGGTTGAAAAACTCTTCGTAAACTTTCAATTTGCTACTACAATTCGGTTTCGTTTTGGCTCAATTATGAAAACACAAGTTTGGAGGTCAATTAGCCAGAGTCACATCAAAACAGACAGACAACTTTTGTCGGTTTGACTGCAATACGACAGCTAGCAACTATAAAAGCCAAGTCAACTTAAACCTTCGGAATGTTTTTGGGTTTTTTTTTCATTATTTAGCTTGGAGTGTTAATGAGGGCCATAAAAAAATATGTAAACCGACTTACCTTGATCGAAAAAATGTTAATCCAACTATAGTTTGTCTTGCGAATCGTCGTCGAGGTTCAGTTGTTGCGTATTTTGAATTTTTCAGCCTTTATTATTTGTTTGGTTTTGGATGATTTTATAGGTATGTTTTTAATTGTGTTTGCCTGAGGAAATTGCACTTTGCTTAGGCCGCTCTCGCTCTCCCAATGGGTTTGTATCTCTCGGATACGTTTCACAACTTTTGCAGCAAGTAACGTATTTTTCACGCTCTGAACTACTTTTTTTATTTCGCTATGGCTCGGGTTTTGAAAGTTTTTTTTTGCTGCTGCAATTGGCTTCGTTTTTCACTTAACACGAGTTGTAGTTGTGGGTATTGTTTTGGTTGTTTTTTTTTTGTAATTTTTTGGGTGGTAAATCCAGTTTGCCAGTTGCAATCGTCTGGCGCACTGCGAAATGTATCTTCGTATCTGGCGGATGAGTGAGTAATGCGCACTGCAAATGTATCTGAATCCCAAAAGGTATGGTATCGCTATCTGAGTTCTGTTCACGCGCGCTCCACGTTCTCAACTGATTGCGATCGTGCCCGTGCAGCGGGTTTTGTTGCCTGGCCTCTCCCTCTCCCGGTTTTCTCTCTGCGCATGCTCTCTCGCTTTTCTCCCCAGTTTCTCTCAGCTCTCTCTCACTCTCAGCAGACAGCTGCGGACATATTTGTAGATCGTAAACTGAAAAAAATTTGGATAAAAGAGTAAATATCGCATATATATCGCGCATATATATGTATACTTATCTGCAGTTGGAAAATTTTGCTATCGGCATTATTAAGAAAAAAGTTTAAATATAAGTGTTATTTCTTCACCTTAGCTAAGCTACTCTGGAGAATAAACATTCAACATAATTTGGGGACAAATGTTTACATATTTTTAGATCGTATACTGAACAAATTAAGATAAAACAATTAAACTTGCTTAAAATTATCATGAAATTTGTTTAAAAATAAATATTTTCGGGTGTGATTCAGACAATTTTTAAGTTGAAATTCGGTAGGAATAATGTCCATACAAATTTCAACCGAATTTAAACCAAAGATAAAGATTAAAGCTCATATCAAAGTTAAACTTTGATATCAAATATTAAAATCCAGAATTTGTGTCAATATTTATTGTACTATCATTTCCAAATGTGATATTTTTTCACGTGTACCAACAGACCCGCATCTCGGGCAGTTGGCATTGCTGATTGAGTCAACAACAGAGGTCAATGGAATAAAGGTTCCCCGAGTTCGAAAAAGGAGGAAACAGAAATAAAAACTCTCCCTTGGCCTACAAAAATGTGGGTTAACTTGAGCTGGCAGCGCGCACTTTTTGTTCAAGGATTAAGGGATTTTAAAACAGACTTTAGGCATTTGTTTTCTTATTTATAGGGGGATTTAGAAAAAGAAGATATGGAAAGAGAGAAAGGCAATCCCCTGGGTTAATCCCTGCATCCAAATGTTCCAAAATTCTTTTTGGATGCTTTCATCAAGTACTCATTAGTTTTTAGCTTCGAAACACCCTCGGTGTGATATTTCTGTTCTCTGATTGATTTATAAATATGTTTTAAAACTAAGTATTCTTTTTGTTAAACGAATTGTAGGAACGTTTAAAATGTTTTCTAAAATTCCTTTTAAGTCGTTATGTTGAGACTAGTAGTTCTTACAAAAATAAGTTGATATGGATTTTTGCTAGATTTAAATGTCAATGTAATTTTGTTTCAATTCCGTATTGCAAAAAAAAAAGAAGAAAATTAAAAATCTAAATAGCATTGCATCTTATATTTATTTCGATTGCCAATTATTTTATTAGAATTCTTTTTATTAAAAGTTGGAAAACTCTATTCCCACTTTATCGTTATTTTTAAGACAATAAGAAATCCTTTTGGTTGGTTCTTTAAATTATACTAAATTTGATATTAAACATTTCCCAATTTGCTTTGGAAGTTTTAAACCTGAAGGCAAATTAGCCCTTGAAATTTAGCACAGTGTTATTTTCAGATTTTGTACTTTCCTTAAATCTTATTAAAGTCATAGTCAACAAAAACTACTCCCCGCTGAGTTTACAACTCATCGCCTTGACTTGTCAACCAATTTATCCCCATTTTCATTAACAATTTTCAAAGATTAATCCTTTTACCCAAGCACTTGGGCATTCGTTTATCCTGTGAGTAACTGAATCATTAATTTCTTCGAGCAAACCTAATTATTCAGCCAGTACTGATCGCCGAGTAATTACAGGAAATCCCTTTCCTGCCGCGCACTGAAAAGCATTTCAATGTTTTGCGGCTGACACGCATGCCATTCGATTTCTGGATATCTCTGGAGATCCTTTTTGGGGATCGTGATCGCAGCATATGGCATATTCTATGGGTCAGCCATGTGTCGAGAGCTGTCAAGTGCGTGCCCGAATCCTTTTGCTCCTCGCGTGAAGCGGGATCAAGCCGATGATCGAGTTACGCCAGCTTCTTTGGAAATTTTATCAGCACTTGCAGGACCACGCCCCCGCCCACGGGCACGCGTACGCCCTCAAAAGGTGCGGATGGAGGATCGGTTTGAATCAGATGCACTCGAATTGCAGCGCAGATGCTGCACCTCCTCTTTGAAGCGGTGTCCTGTTGCGATCTCAAGTGCATCTAATGGCTTGTTTATCAGCAGTTGTCGATCGCCGGGCAAATAAATTGAGTAGGTACCATTTTCCTTAATTGATTGCGGCGTCGCTCTAATCATTTCTAATTGCGAGGCTAAGGACGCACCCAGATAAACACACGGAGAAAAATGCATTTTATAATACAAATATATGTTTGTGCATTGTACACACTTGACCATATCGAGACAACCAAAAAACACGCAGTAAAACAGTATAATAAATATCAGGTTAATACTTCGAATATATTTAAAATATTTTGAAATATCAAATATGAGCACCTACATTTGTGTGAACTAACAAATAAATTTGCTACTAATTGTTACAAAATATACTATATATTTACATATATAAAAGACTTAAGTTGTATAAGATCTTAAAGACCACGAAATTAATATACATCTTTAAAAAATAAAAATTTAAAGGTCAGAAAGAAACTTTATTTAAACAAAATTAACAATTTTTTGCTATTTATATTCACATATTAAAATTCATCAACTCTTTTAAAATACTAAGTGCTTCAGAATTGGTATAGATTTATTGTCAAACTGCCGTGATTATTTTTGTTCATTAAAAACATATTTTTTATCCCCATTCCTAACAATAAATTATTCCTTCCACAAACATCGATTTTCTAATTCTGGATAGTTATTTTCAGTGCACATACAGTTAATCCCTAGCTCATCCTGTCCACATACGAACCCAAGCCAAAACAGCTGCCTTGCATCCAATTGCTACGTTTTTCCCTATTGTCTGGCCAGGAATCGGAATTTGAATCTACACATTTGGGAGGGGTATCTCGTAAACGATAAGAATCGCCTTGGACAGGATGTGCAATGAAAGTTGCCAAAAAAAATAATAATACGCTGGAAGGAGAGGCCTGAAAAGGATGTTTACTTAGGCGCACGTACGTGACTCTGTGAGGTAATTTCTGTGTGTCCGGCTGATAATTGCCCAAAGGAATGCCTGGATATTTGCTTAGTTTTGTTGATTTTCAATTACGTGCCGGAGTCCGGATTGTGTTTGCGCATAAATTGCCGGCAAAGGAAGTTAAACCCCCAACACGATCGGCCACGATGGTTAATTTACACTTACGTACATCTGGCAAGCTGTAAGGGGATTGGCATTGGGAATGGGGAGCGTGTGCCGTGGATATATATCAAATTCCTTAAAATATCCATCCAATATTCCGTGTGTCTCCTGCTATTTATAGAGATAAACCACCCCCGAACTAAACGATTTACGAGCCATATATATTTTCGAAAATTTCCTCGGCTCCAGCTCGGCAGTCATAGTCATTAAATGTCTACAAAAATATACAGAAAGTAGATGCAGTGAGTGTACCATAGAATAGGATAGTCCATTTAACGATCGCATAGGGGGATTTCCCCTCCGGAGAACTAATCCCGAACAGCTTCCAGTTCGTGCTCGGCGTTTTATTGGCACTTTCCCCAGACTATAAATCAATAAACAGATTGTGTGGCATCTTCCGTCATAAAGTTTTCAGCGTTTTCCTTCGGAGAAATCTGCCGGGAGGCGTAGCAGCTGTCATGTTTTCCCCGGTTTTCCTCGGATTTCCCGGGGTTTCGCCGGTTTTCTTATGTTTCCAACTGAAATCTTATTACGAAAACGTTCGAATCAATCAGAAAAATAATAATAAAACCAAATCAAGTAACCGTAAATAAAAAAGCTGGAAAAAAGACGCGCTCGTAAAGAAACGGCAGACACAAACATCGCAACGAAAATGCCACACAGTCGGCAAGAATTACTACACTCAAAAAAATTACGTTTTTTGGTTTACACGGTTTCGACAGTAATCAGCTTGGAAAGCATTTTTTAGATTCCTAAAATATTATATCTTAAGAATTAACAAAAAACTTTCTTCCCAAATTTATTTTACAAAGTATTGAAAACCTCTCAAACTAATGAGTTCGAGACTAATGAACAAAAAATATCGAGTCAATTGACACAGTAGCTAGTTACTCCTTTCCCTAAATTAGTAATTATATTTTATATTTGTGTCAAATTGTGAAAACTGAATAAAAAACAAAAATGTTTATAAACTGTCAGAAAAAGTTAAAAAAAAACTATTTATCCGTTAACCTTTTTTTGCCGATCTACAAATATTAAGTAGAACATTGCCTCTAGTTTTTTCAGTTAAACTGCTATTTGACTGAACTCTAAAACTCAAAAAAACATTGAGATATCGGGCCTTGTTATCTTTCTTTAAATGATAATAAGTTAAAGAGAGAAATAACACCCATCTTTTCCTGAGTGTAACAGAGATTCCAAGGCAAGATCTGATGGGTATATCACCGGGAGCTGGGAAACCGCGCACCGAATACTGGAGACAATAGGGCAACAAGCCGCAGCCGACTTCCGCTTTCGTTTCATAAATTCGGATTAAGGCATTTTCAAATGATAACAATGAAAGTAAATAAAGAGAACGACGGTGAAGAAATGCTCCGTGAATCTGATTAACGGCAACAACACCGTCGTCGACAATGGGAACTTACAAAACGTGTCTCGTAAATGGTTTGTGGTTCAACCCACCGGGCAGTAAACTAACGTAAGCCTACAACAACGTGCCCCAGAACAATCCACGCACAGAACCGAAATAAAGACCGCATAACTAGTGAGGAAAGCTCACCAGATTGTCTCCGAAGGGAAATATCTAATGAGGCGACGGTTCTTTGTTAGTTAAACCACTTACACAAATCCGATCCGATCACGATTGTGGGCGGCCCAAACGGATGGGAAGTAGGAAGTAGGTAGCAAGGTACACCAGGGTTTAGAAAAATATTTACTTTCGGAAAGGTTCATGTAGATAAATGCATACAATTAACTTTATATGTGTTTTTTTGGCAATGCCAATAAGGTATCTCTTACTTTAGTTATAGTATTGTACATAAAAACACTTTAGGAAAATAAAAACAATACATTTTCGTTAAATTTTCTTTATGTCAACTCCAATGTCTTGTGTTTTTTGTGTAAATTCTAAACAAATGCCTGGGGGATAATTATACAAAAATGCATTAAATGTATGAATAATTATAGAAATCATTATACTGACACTCAAAAACTTATTCAATTTTGAGACAATTACTTCATCTTTTGAATATTTAATTATACCTGAAAGAAGTAAATTATGCTATTTTAGGGTAATTCTTTGTTAACCAATATTGGATATTTTTTCGTACAAAACAACCTTTTTAAAATGAATCTAATGGGTCCCCATTATATCCATAACAGCTAAATATATGAATTAGTCCCTTAACCTGGTGGCTTTAACTTAATATACCAACATATAAACTAACTAGATCGGAAAATGATTGGGTTAATCGATGTTTAAATAAATAAAAGCAGCACTAATCAAATTTCCCAACCTGTCAACAAAAGTTGTACTCTTAAATAGAACTAACGGATTCAGTTTGGCAAAGACAAACAGAACAATGGGCCGATACCAATCGACAATCCATAAATACGTGCATCCGCTGAGTGAATGGCTCGGCGCATTTGCCAAATATTTGAGCCTAGACAATTTCATTTCCTGCCCAAATGCCTGCTGGCCCGCATCCCGTTCGCCAAACAACACATGGGATTAGGTCCTCCTGCAGGAGCTGCAGGAATCATCTGTTGCTCGAGGTCGGGGGTGAGGGCAGAAATTAGGGCTTCTCCTGAGCGGAAACGGGAATCCAGGAGAGAAGGCGCGTTCTCTGTACACAAAACAGGAGCAGGGGAAACCGAGGAAGACGAACGCAGGGAATTGTAAAAACAAATGTTGTCAAACAACAATAACAAGGAAAAGGATGTCCTGCTGAGCGAGGAAAAGTGCGTAGAAGGCTATGCGTTGCAATTAACCTTTTTACACTCAGGAAAATATTGCAGATGTATCAATTACTAGTTTTAATTATAAGGTAACCATTTTTAAAATAAGACTTTCCTTAAGACTTTCTACAGAAATTATACAGGAAGGTATAGAGAGCGCTATAACCAGTTGGGAATTATAATAGCCTAACGCAAGTACTACTATTTTCACTAATTACAAAACTAATTTGCATTGGTCAATTTGACGAAGCCATTTTTGTGTGTGTTATGATCCATTTATTTTCATACCTTCCATAAATTAATAAGAATATATTGCTGTATCTTGCCATATTTTGGTCAATTTGTACTAGCTTGTTATTCTGAGTGTAGCCATCCCGACATCCTCTCCGCAGGACATGTGGCAAGGCAAACGCAGCGGGGAAACCAAATTAGTTTCTCGTTTCGAGGCAGTGTGAAATGCAGCGCAGGAAGCTGCTGCAGCAGGCTCAATTTGATTGTGGGTCCATTGTCCGCTCACGTCCCGTTCAGGTATACAACTCCCAAAATATTGCCGGTGATTAGTGACTTTTGGTCGGTGGCGATGAGGAAACGCCTGCGGCGTTAATTGTTTGTCCCTGCTCATTGCTGTCCACGTCTTTTGATTTGCACCGCTCTAAGCGGTTAATCTGGGCCACAGGAAGCGGAAGCGGCAGTGCCAACGTCCGACGAAAAACGGAAGTCGGAAGCCGGAAGATCCGGAAATTAGTAGGAAATTTGCTGGTTTGTTGCAAACGAGAAAAACAGACGGATTATAATATGAGTAACTGTGTGCGAAGACAGATAAATATATTGTGCTTAAAGAAAACTAATAAGTATCGATAATACAAAGGACCAAAGCTATTTAGAAGAATACGTCAAATTTAATCAGTTCTTTCATAGACAAGTGGGTATAAATAGGGTGTAAGTTCAATTGGTTTTAACAGTAAAATATATTAATATTTTATATACGATAATAAGATATGGAATCGTACTGGAATTATCCGAATACTAACCGTTTTCAGAACCAAAACGTCCCATTAAAAACGTATGACCATTTTGGGGTTGATTATTAACTGGTTTATTGCATATGTGAAATACTGAATAAAAAAGAGGGACACTTAAGAATTTTGGGAACTAAAACTATAAGCCACTTCGCGACTGGGCGAACTTATGCACTATATCGATCGAAGGATAACCCCATGGGTCTTCGATACTCTACAATGCATAATTTTCGGAGACGCGGCTGGAGCTCAGAGCCACTTTTTAGGGGGCCTTGGACGTGGTGGACTGCTGCTCTTTTTGCGGCAGGGAAAATGGGGCAGATCCTTCGCATTGGCCATGTCCACATAGGGTTTTTGGTGCAGCGTAACTCCGGCGGCGGTGCGAACCAGACTCCGTCGGAAATTGGTTCCCGCCAGGAGGTAGTTCACCGGAAACTGCAACATTCCGGGTCGATAGTGGGCAATGGGACTGAGGCCCAGAAGGGCGCTCTTGCCGCCGCCCTCATTGCGATCCTTGGTGGGCCCACAGGCCGCACATCCTGTGGCTGGCTCCGAACTGTTGCCCTTCGGGCACTCACTTGCCCCCACTTCCTGCCACTGGCGACCTTCGCCGCCCTGGTTGCACTGCTGGCAGCGGGTGTGCCGCGGACCGTGTAGATTTTTCTGGCTGCGATTTCGACCATCGCCACCACCTTTCGACTTCGGATTGGAGCAGGGTCCTCGGCAGTGGCCCTTGCAGCCCTTTCCACAATTATGCGGTGGTCGGGAACAAGGTCCGTTGCAGTCGTACTTGCAGCGATGTTCCTGGCAGTTGGGCAGAAAGAATGGGCTCTTCTCTTCGGGTTGGACATTGATTCTGGACTGGGTTTTAAGAAAAACCATGCTGGGTTCGTTGTGAACCGAAGTGGCTGGATTTAGTACATGTTTCGAGGACACCACGCTGTAGAGGGAGGTAGCCTTGGAAAACGGCGAAGGTGCCGCACTAAGTTGGGCTTTGCTCGCCACTCTAGTCACCGGAAGACTTTCCCCTTTTGAACTAATCAGTTTCTTAACAGGAGAAGCTATAGCCGGTTCTGTGCTCATCCTTCTTTTAGGTTTCTTCTTGTTTTTCTTAACCTTTTTCTCTGCATCTTTTGCCTTGCCGTCCTTATCGTTATCATTTTTGGCATTATGATTGCAGATGAAGATCTCTAATGCCTGGGCAATCAGCATGGCCAGCTTTTCCCTGGACTCGAATCCTTTGCGGCAGAACTCGCAGTTGCAGGTGCAACTATGAGCTTGGCCGAAGTGCTGACCCTGACCCTGACCTTGACCCTGGCCCTGACCTTGACCCTGACCTTGTTCGTTCATCTGACCTTGTTCGTTCATCTGACCTTGTTCGTTCATCTGACCATTGCCCCAAGGTCCTTGTTTCTTGTGGAGATCATCATCACAAGAACAGTTGTAACTGTGGTACGAACAGCAATTCTGGTATCTATCGTCTTCATATCCTGAAATATTTAATTAAATAATTATAAATTAATTAATTTAATTTAATATTATAATTTAATCTTATGATTGTATTGGGGATTGATTAAAACTTACCATCTCTGGTGTAGGAATCCATGGACCAAGGACTCATATCGTATCCGTAATCGCACCTATCCTCCCTTTCCGGTTCGTACCACTTGCGATTGAGGTCCAGGAACTCGTAGTCTATATACCCGCTTAGTGGTTGGTTACGATAGTTATTCGGGTAATTGTTGTATTCAGGGTGCTGTGTTTCCGTCGGCATATGCATTTGACCTCCTCCGCGATTTATAGCAGTTGTTAGCTGATCGATCAGGGCATGATTGTTGCAATCCTGCAGGACAATGATGTTGAAGGGCTGGTCACCCTGCTGCTGTTGGTTACCATAATGAGGACCACTACCATTTAACTGGTGCCATTGACCAGGTGGCTGGGGCTGTTGTGGATGTGGATGGTTATATGGCAGTGGATGTGGCGGAGGCTGTTGCTGAACCGGTTGATGCATACATGGTTGACATGCCGTCTGTTGACATTGTCCCTTGCATTGCACGTAATAATTGTCCACGGCCGCCTGGATCTTTTGATTGCAAATCGGACAAATGCTTTGACCTGCTTGATGGATTTCCTCATGTCCGCAAAGTTGGCAAACTGGAGCTGTGCCTCCCATTCCACGATATGAGACAGGGTCAGGGGCAAATCTCGATGATTTTGACTTTAGTGGCACCTCCTCTGTTAGGCTCTCCTGGGATCCCATTCGCGATTTCCCCTGACTCGTAATATCACACTGACCTGAGCAGTGCGTATTCCTTTTCGCACATTTGCATTTCTTATTGCATGGCTGCACCGTATAATCCTGACACCGATCGCAGTTCTTCAGGATGTACATACTCTCTGGCGCATTCTGGCTGCCAGGACACGGACTTTGTGGAACAGGACGTGGCTTTTTACATACATCATTGCGACTATCTTGCGAAAAATCGGTTTGGCTCTCGCGACCCGTCTCATTTCTTGACTGCTCCGAGCTCCGGCAGTGGCCCATAATTTTGTTGTTAACGAAATGTTTCATTTTAAAAGGTTTCGATTCGGACATGAGACTCGTGGCCTATTTTTTTGACTCCAATGGCTTGGCGGACTTACTCCGCTTCTTGCTGCGCCCGAAAATCTGTCGCCAGCTCCAGGTTCCCAGGCTGTCATGTCCAGTCACAAAGGGATCTCCAAATACCCAAGCATGCAATTGGCTTAATCTATTGTACTTTACGGGTAAGACGATACCCGGAGTTCTAGGCGGTTTAGGCTGCTCATTGGTTTTCTCGCCTCTTTGGTGAATGGGATTCAGGCGAGTCTGAGGCGATTCCCGTGAGCAACGCACTTTCAGGAAACTACCTCTGTAGAAGGGATTCACATCGGTGCCCAAGTAGGAAGCTGCCTTTCGATTGGACTGCGGATCGAGTAACGCAGGTTCTAAATAAGCCGGTGATATACGTGGGGGATCTGGATCAGTCCTATTGGAGATAGCTGGACCAGATTGAGATCTATAGGAAGATGAGGGTAGTTCAGGCTTAGATCTATAAGAATGTGGATCAGGTTGAGATCTATGGGAATGTGCTGGTTCTGGTTGTGATCTATAAGAATGTGCTTGTGGCGAGTGTTCCCTAGATTGGAGAGAACCTCTTTGAGAGTCATGATGACGTGAAGAACCAGGAACATTTACTATTGGCGATAAAGCTCTAGTCCTTTGCTGAGAAAGGGATGCGGGATTTGATTCCCTTTCGCTCTGCCTTCTTTCCGACTTTTGCACCAAGTTTTCAGGAGGAGAACGCATTTGGAAATGCTGTGGAGCAGCTGATCTTTCTCGGTGCTGACCAGGTTGACTAGAACGCTCCTGGCTCACATATGAATGACCTGCTCTGCTCTGGCTCCTTGTATGGATTGGACTGGTAACATTTTGACCTGAAGAAAACGATTGTCTGATTCCCTTAAGAAATAACTTCATGGTAAGCAAGCATATACTTACCCTGTCTGTAGCTTCTTGATGGCGCCACCTGAGTGCCTCCAGGAATCACTGCCTTAGCTCTTCTTTTCAGACTCGTAGCAATAGTGCCCGTCATGTAGTGAGAGTTCCTGCCGCCCTGACAACGCTTCTTGCAGCAAATGGTCAGCTCGTATCTAGTTTTGGGTACCTTCCTAGGTCGACATCGGCCCAGCGTCTTGTAGATGATGCGGTTGCTCTATTTAAAAAAAAAAGTGAGTTTGACAAAATTTTAAACAGTGCAATGCGAGTAATATATACAGTTTTTGTAGAAAACTACCAACTCAAAAAAAATTAAAAACTTGAATGCAGGTTTATAGAGAATAAAACCACAAGTCTTAAGAGGTAGGCCACTTTGGAATCGGTTTAAATTTGGTAAAGTTATGGACTCTAGAAGCCGAATTTTGGGTCACCCTATTACAAGACATCGGGAACTTAGAAATAACTAACATGAAAATGAGTCAAAAAATTAATCAACATTAAAATGACAAATTTGAAAACAGATTTTTAGAGAATCAAACCGCAAGTCTTTATAGATATGCCACTTTGAGATCGGCTTACATTTGGTAAAGTTATGGACCCTGGAATTCTAATTGTGGTAACTTAAAAATAACTAACATGAGAATAATAATAATAATATTAATAAAGTTTATAAATATATGGTCATATTAAACTATATTGTCTAATCTTACGCTGGTAACATCCGGTATAGAAATGTTAGGCATCATGGGTAGTAGTCCGCACGTGGGGCAGCATTTCTGTGCCACCGATGTGACACATCTCTTGACCAATGCACTTTTCTTACTTTGGGCCTTTATCTTGTTGCACTTCGGGCAGAGTTTTCGACAGGACGCACATCTCCCATTCTCTGGGCAATTGAAACGGTAGCTCTTTACTGGCTTCTCCATCAGGGTTTCGTTGGAGCAGATTGGAGGTCCTCTTCGAGAGCTACTACGCTTTTCCGCTTTGGGTTTTCTGCAGCTTCGTGGTTTTTGCTGGACACACTCTGGACTGTAACTTGCCTGTGGCAAACCATCGCAGCTCGAACGAGATTGAACCAAAGGATTTCTAAGGACCTCTGTCGCAGAATGACTTCGCTCTACGTAATCGGTGGGTTCTCCATCGGAATATCGATAGGAGTCCCTTTCATCGCAGGCACTGCATCTCCTCTTGCTGCCTCTTTTTGTGGAATTCATTGACCTTGATCTGGGCGCGGGTTTTCTGCAAGTGGGTGGTGGTGACGTAGCAGCAAGACACTTTCGCTTTGGTGCAGGTGGAGGAGGAGTTGCCTGAATGTGGGACCGAGCATGGCAGCGAATAGGGCAAGTTTGAGCTGAGGGAGTAGGTTTTCTCTGGTAATAATTTTTATCTGTCTGATTTTTCCTCTGAACTCGCTTTCCTGGCGAGGATTCAGGCAAGCAGCAACATTCTGATTCCTTTCGCTCCAACCGATTGGTCCTCTGAACTAGCTGCCTTCCTGGCGGAGAATCCGACTCACAGCAGCATATCGAAGTCTTTCTCTGCAATCGGTTAGTTCTCTGAACTGGCTGTCTTCCTGGCAAGGAATCCGAATCACAGCTGCATTCGGACGCCTTTCTCTCCAACCGATTACTCCTGTGGGATTCTGCTGGATATTCTTCATATTGCGGTCTGTCTAGGGCAGGATTCTTCTTGGGACTGTGCTGGAACTCCCTGTATTCCATGTAGTGCGAGGAGGGTGTTCGGTAAGCCCGTTTGCCTGGCGATGGATCGCAACCACAATCACTTGCACTGCGATCCTTGGAATGAGCTTGAGTCCTGCCCTGCGGCACATAACCTTGATACCCTTGTGGTGCATAATATTGCTGGGGTGGGCTATTGTCATAATAACCCGTCTGGCATGGTGCGGTTCCAGTTCGCTGGTAATCCTGGCTATTATATTGATTGGTATCCTGCTGTTGATTGTTCTGATTCTGATAATTGCGATATGGGCAGCTGGGAGCGCACTCGTCCTGATCTGGAATCTCGCCACTCCTCACAACCAGTGGGTTGCGTAGTAAATTTGACTGCTGATGGTACTTTCCATTCCCGCCAGAAACCCTCCTTCTCCTTTCGGGGACAAGGGTCAAGCCAACAAAAGTCGATCCAAAAACTGAGAACGATGAACTTCTGTGAAGCTTGGATCCCCTCTTCTGATCAAAGGAAATCACGTTGTTGTCGATATGTGCATCGATGGTTTCGGTGCATGTGCTCCTTCCATTTGTAGGATTCTCGATGATCAGGTAATTCTTCTTAATTAATTGAGCGGGCAAGCCAACTGAATAAGCCATTGAAGGGAAATTTGTGTTCTGGAAATTGTATTGAATACATCCGGTGTCCGATCTCTTGGCTCAGTTAGAAATCATCTGGTTACATTAAATAAATTTAGACAAACTTTTTTAATTACAAATGTATTTCTACAAAAAATATAGCTTAGGTATACCCCGACATACTTGTAATGATGACTTAAAACTCAAGGTTTAGGCTTTTATTTGAAATAGGAAAAAATCTCAGACTAAGAACGAAATTTTGGGAACAGCTCTGTTCCCCAAATAAATATGTTCTTGGTGGAATAAAGCTGTGCCTTAGAATTCGTCGATGATCTGAAATTGGCTTGTCTAGAGTTAGTTAACAAAATCATTTTTGGATGTCCTATATCTCAGAGCAGATTCGTTTAGCACCAGGAAGAGGCATTATGCGGCTATATGCCTTATTCAGAGCTTTGGCCGTCATCGGCAGATCCTCCCACAGTCGCCAGCTGTGTTTCTCGTCAAGAGCTGAGCTTAGTGATCTCTGGTTTCGCAACTTCAGTGTCAACTTGGTTGAGGAGCGGGAACGACATCGAGATGGGTTGCGAGTACGGTTCAAACGACTTTTGGACTTGGAGAAATCGGGCTTGGGCCAGTGGAGCGGTCTTCTCATTGGCAGCTGCGATTGCGTGCAAGGGTAGGGGATGGAAAGATTAACCAGGCGGGGGTTCAATCGCTTCCGATACCGTTTCCGGCGACCTAACCTGAGGTAAGGATTTAAGATGTTAGCTAATTAATTTTGTAGTACTTCAATATTTCATACATTAAATAGGGGTGGTACAGAAATCTTTAAAAGTTGTCTCAAACCTTTAGAGATTTCTGTTGCATCACTTATGACATGCACAATTATCAATTAACTGACCTGGGATGTTCTGCCTCATAAACATTGCAGCAGCGATTGGCGTACTCTTCTCCATGAATCCCTTTATCACTCGCCAATTTTGGTTCACTTTTCGAATGCTCAACTTTTGGTTTGGATGGATTTCCCTCTTCGTCCTCCTCATCGGAGGTAACCAACAAGTACACAGAGTACTGCTTTTGGCAACCTTCGGATCCAGATCCTGCCATTAAGCGACTCTTTGGCTCCTTATCGTCCTTTTCACTTTCCCTGGACTCGCACATGTGAGCCACTAGTTGCATGAGTGAATGCCACATGGGATTGCCCTCTAGTCCCTTGACTTTTTCGTTTCTTAACAGCTCATTGATGTTTAATTTTCTCGATCCCTTACTAGTTGCTGAGGTGGACGAAAGAACTTGCTTAGGTCCAGGTTTCAATATATCATCCAGAGTGTTTGTGGCTTTGTCGGTCAACGAGGTTCGACTTTGATATTGAGACTTTGACTGATCTTGTTCTTTGGTTAGGGTTACGGTGCTGCTATCGTTTCCTAAATCCAGTCTTCTGGCTTGACGATTCAGAAAGCGCTTCGAAGACGTCTTACCCTCTCGGTTGAGAAGCTCCGACTTTTCTGGGTTAGCTTGGAACTTATTTATGAAATCCTTTTTAATCTCATCTCTGGTTTCTTCGTAGGAAAAGCTCTTAGACCCACAACTCTGAACTTGCTTAGGAACCTGTGGCATATTTTGCTGCTTTGCTGGTTTTATTTCTGCATTTGCTGCTGTGTACATGGAAGATTCTGTATCTGAGGCCCAACTGCATCCTTCTATAAAGTGGTTGGCGAATTTCCCGAAATTAAAGCTTTTACTTTGATCCAGTTGCAGCTGGGTTTCCCGATGTAGATGCTGCTTCCTCAACTCCTGTTGGTGTTGCAAGAGATGTTGCTGCTGTTGTTTTTTTTTGTGTTGCACCTCTTCCCGTTCTTTCTGATCTTGCAAAGATTGATGCTGTTTCAGAAGGTCATGTTGGATTTGCAACTGCTGCAGTTTTTGGCGTTCTTTCTTCAGTATATTTTGTTTCATTCTTTTATTTGGCTTGGGTGGAATCTCGGGCTTGATTGGTTGAACTACTGGTTCTTGATACATGGAACGTGTGGCAGCTGTGCCTTTGATGGTCACTCGTTTGGATTTCAAGGGATCGGAGGCCTGCAAATCACTACCAAAGTTGTGACCAACTTCAAATCTTGACGACTTCTTCAAAATACTGGCAGGCACTGCTTTCTGTTGCTGTTGCATAAGAAATTGCTTGTGTTGCTGCTGCACTTGATATTGCTGCTGTTGCCATTGCATAGCACTCACCGTTGCCGGGTAATCGAATAAATTCCCCTGATTGAAATGCAAAGCTCCGTGATGTTGCTGCGGTGCGGTGGGTGCAACACCTAGTGCTGCTGCTGATGTTGCTGGTAAATTCCTTAAGCATTGGCTTTGACACGTGGCCAAAAAGCAACCTGGTTGTGGCAGGGCTGCCTTGGAAACGCCTTGTCTTAGGTAGGGTATATTTCCCGCGGTGCGATATATCTGCTGGAATTGCAGTTGCGGATGCTGCTGCAGCCCATAATTTGGTATGAAGCTCTGCAACGGAACTGCTTCTCTGGGCACTTTCATCAGCTGACGACGCAGACGACTCAATTTCCGGCTGCTGACCTCCGGTGGAGCCATTGCCGCCATTCGAGGCATGGCGCCTCCCAACTTGTTGCACACGGAGTGCCAATATTCCGGCATTGAGGCGACCAAGGGATTCCTGGCATATTGCTGTTGCTGCTGCTGCCACAACTGCTGATAGGCGTTCATCGAAGCCAGCTTGGCCGAATTCGTCGATACCCTTCTTCGAACCATTATGGAGTTTATTGTAGTTTATTTTGAAGGAGGATTAGTTTTTAAACTGATGACTTAGAAAGTTTCTTGCTTTTCTGCTGGATGATTTTTTTTGTTTTATCTGCGGCTTGTGGTTTCATTGAAAATTTTGAATGCACCTTGTGTGCCATATTTATTATGAGAAAAAATCTTTAACGAGCAAATCAAGGCCTGCCTGGAGGTATCAGTTCTAATCATCCGTACATAAAAGAATCACAGAATTGTAAATTATACTTAAGATTTTAAGAAATAAATACCATATGACCTTAAAATTGTGACTGTAATGTACATAATTAAAATATTGGATCTTATACTTATCATATTTTATTGCTTTAAGTTATTATATTTGCTTGCTTACTTACAGGTGGTTAAAAAGGTTGCCTTACAAATTAGTGCACTAGTCCCAAAAACAATATTCATCATATAAATACCTTTTTGATTTGATTTTTAAAAAGTTTTTAAAAGCTCTTTGCATTATTTAAAATATATATTTTAGATCTAACAATAAATTGTTAACCAACATTTTTGTTTTGCAGCTTTAGAAATTTTTTCCAAGTGAATGAACAACTTTTAGCTGACGTCACGCGACTCCAATGTCAGTAACTCCCACTCTCTCTTAGCCATCTCTCCCTGTCCCTCTCTCCACGTCTCTCTCTCAACCCACGCATTTACCGTTTTAGTGATGTAGTGGAATTCCCGGCTCCATTTTCATTCAGTTGGCTGCTGGCGGAGAGTTGAATCAATGGCCAGCTGGAAGGCTTTCATTCATGGAGCGGAGCGCATTCCAGGATGCCAATTAGTTTGGTGCGTATTCCAAGCTGCGCAGGAAGGAGAAAAGCCGTTACAACAGCAGCCGCCGAAAATGACTTCAAAAAATGACTAACAAAAACCACATAATCGAATTTTACAGTTTCTATTGAACAGAATAACATTTCCGAATTGTTTTTTTGCTTTTTAATTTTTATTGAATTTACCAATTTTATACGAGCAAACAATGGTGTCCTTTGGCTGTGTGGCAAAACTTTTACGCGGCTTCGAGTGCAGCGCCAATACTTGGGTCAAGGCAGTAAATCCCGGGTGGTACGAGGCGCGCGCGATTCCAAAGACCATGCTGATCGAGAAAGTGCGACAGGTGGCCCAGACGACCAGGGCGATTCGCCAGCGACCCCAAACCGCTGAGGCGCCAAAAAAAAGCACCAATCCAAGGCGCCAGCCTTATCTCTAGTTTCAAAAAGAGATATGTATTTATAACTAATATGTTCTAATTGGTAAGTGTTTTTTCTTAAATACACAAAACAATTTATTTGGCGTCTAAAAGTATGCCAAGAAATTGATTCTGATTTCCACTAATTATTTTTATGGCATATTCTTGTGCCCACATTCTAATGTAGAAACACATATTGAACTTTTGCCGCTTATGAATTTGATTGAACGTAATTGAATCAAATTTATATATTTAAAATCATGTTTCTACACCAGATCCTGCAGCGGAAATAAATTATTTTATTAAGTGTAAAGTTAAATTTAATTTTTTTACAGTTTATGCGAACTATATATGTTTTAATTATATATTTGATGCAATGTGTGTTAATGCGGTGTACGTCCATTAGAACTGAACTATTATTAATATTTTATTATTTTATATTTACAGATTTAAGTGTTTTTCCCCCGATGCAGATTCAGAGTGTAGGTATGTATTCCAGAAATTCAAATCTGAAATCAGTGTTGAATAACTTCCAATTTCGCCCACAGAGTTGCCACGCAACAGTTATCGATTTCGGCATCTTTGCTCCGGCGACGCGCGGTCACACCGAGTCGGTGCCGAGTTTTTGCTTCGCGAGCAGGTGGTGTTGTCCAATCAGAATCGCCGTCGACGGCACGAAAAAAAATTCCAATAGAATAGCCGAGGGCGATTATTTATGTGTGTTAATGTTAAATGTTAAATGCAAAATTACGCGTCGCTCGCTTCGCCCACGCGAATCCGATTGTTCAGTGCAAACACCCAAGTGAATATAATATGTAAGGCAGAGGCACGAAGCCAGCAACAAAGCGCCAGTGATAAGCGCAATAATATAAATATAATATAGTATAAATTCAACGTGAAAAGAAATCTCGCCAGCCAAAGAAAAGCAAAAAGCAGAGGCAGCAACTCGGCGACAAATGGAAATAAAGTAAAATTAAGGAGAGAGGAGAGATAGAAATCGTAATGTGTAAGCGGGACCAGAGCGTATGAAAAAAAAAACAAAGAAAAAACGTCGGAGCCAAGATTAAATAAATTTACAAGTGTGTTTTGTATTTGACCAGCTTTTGTGATTGTTGTTGTTGTTGCGGAGGCTGAAAGAAAAGCGGAATAACAACAAAAGCGTTTTTACATGCGACTGTATGTGTGTGAGTGTGTGTGAGCAACTATTTCCAGTGATGAGCGCGTGACACACTCCGTAGTTCCATGATTTTACAATATGGAGTGTAATAAATGCGCTCGTGACTCACGCAGCCACATCTAACGGCCCCTGAGATGCGGAAGCTAAAAAACATTCATGAATGGCAATTATGTACCGTGCGCTGCGGCAAGATTTACCTTCGATTCGATCTGTGGAAAAAAAACAAAACTGCGCGTACGATTTTCCACTTTGGAAGTCGTGACGTTTTCCCATGCATAACGGTGTATGTGTGGGGGCTCTCTTTTCGCTCGCTCGCTTGCTTACATGTGTGTGTTCGTGCGTACGTCATGGCAACTCCGGTAAAACGCAAATAAGGGGCAGCGAAAAGCCAATTGCCGTTGAGTGGTCTAATTGGACACCTTGCGCATTACTTGTTTATACTATTTACCATTTGGCGACCCGTTATCAATTGCAGGTGCTTTCTCCTGTAAACGCAAGTGCGAGAGTGTGAGTGTGTGCGTGCGACCTCGACTAATTTTTATTCTGTCCCCACACATATGCAATTACACGGAACAAAATGTGTCTTGATAAGGTTTATGTTTTTAAAAGGACTCACTTTACAGAAGTTGAAAACCGACAGTTCTTTAGTAAATAAGCTGCATACGTTTTGATTGGTATCTTTAAAAGAGTAAAATTTATTTAGAAAGTTCCTCCATAAATGACAGCATTATGCCTTGAACACCATAGTTAAAATTTAAATTTCAAATCTAAAACAATTTGTTTTGGAAGTTTCTTTACAATGATAATTGTGGATTAAATCTTTCTTCACAATTATAATTATAGACTAATAATTCAACTTCTTTGGAGATCTATTTTGTCTTTTTAAATAACACAGAAAAAAAACAAGAAAGGAAAGCTAACTTCGGGCGGAGCCGAAGTTGAAAAACCCTTGCAGAATATTCTGCAAATTATATTCTCCAAAATTATTCATATGATGCATTTTTAATACTCATAAAAAATCCCACCTTCCTAACTTTAAAAACACCAAAGTTATTTCATTTCCGATCAATCAGTTATATGGCAGCTATAGGATATAGTCGGCCGATCCTTATGAAATTTAATATGTCGAATTGATTGGGCAAAAATAAAACCCATAGAAAATCCCAACTTCCTAACTTTACAAATACCAAAGTTATGGCATTTCCGATCAATCAGTTATATGGCAGCTATAAGATATAGTCGGCCGATCCTTATGAAATTTGGTAGGTCGGATTGATTGGCCAAATATAAAACCCATAGAAAATTCCAACTTTCTAACTTTACAAACACCAAAGTTATGGCATTTCCGATCAATCAGTTATATGGCAGCTATAAGATATAGTCGGCCGATCCTTATGAAATTTGGTAGGTCGGATTGATTGGCCAAATATAAAACCCATAGAAAATTCCAACTTTCTAACTTTACAAACACCAAAGTTATGGCATTTCCGATCAATCAGTTATATGGCAGCTATAAGATATAGTCGGCCGATCCTTATGAAATTTGGTACGTCGGATTGATTGGCCAAATATAGAACCCACAGAAAGTCCCAACTTCCTAACTTAACAAACAGCAGAGTTATGGCATTTCCGATCAATCAGTTATATGGCAGCTATAGGATATAGTCGGCCGATCCCGGCTGTTCCGACTTATATACTGCGTGCAAAGGAAAGAAGGGTGTGTGCAAAGTTTCAACTCGATAGCTTTAAAACTGAGAGACTAGTTTGCGTAGAAACAGACAGACGGACAGACGGACAGACGGACAGACGGACAGACGGACAGACGGACAGACGGACAGACGGACAGACGGACAGACGGACATGGCTATATCAACTCAGGAGGTGATCCTGATCAAGAATATATATACTTTATAGGGTCGGAGATGTCTCCTTCACTGCGTTGCACACTTTTGACCAAAATTATAATACCCTCTGCAAGGGTATAATAATTTACCTTCACTTATCTGGGGTACATAGGGCTGTTTCTTATCTGTGTATTTGTACATAGATCTTAAGAATTTCCAAATTGTTTCTGTGATTATGATAACATTAGGTGTCCTTCCGAATAAAATATATACACATTTACATATTCGGTTTTTCTAAAAGTTTATTATTTAAGGTTAGGTGTTTGTATTCCTTGTTCGATAAGTTTAAAATCTTTAACATTTTTGGTTTATGTGTAAGTTTTTCTGTAGTTTTCCTGTGAAATTCCTTGACTCCTTGGGACCACAAACACCGACACAACTACATAAACTGTTGCTGCGCCCCCGCTCACACACATGCTAATGCGGGCCCTGCTGATAGTCCCTTCTCCCTCTACCCTTCGCCAATCGTTGGGGAACTGGCGACGGTCTCTCGCATGTTTGCCTTGCTCTATCTCCCTCTGCCCCGCCACCCACCTTCCACTCCCACTCGCCCCCTCTCTTTCCGTCTGCTTTTCTGTCTGGCTTTGGCTGCTGTGTAAGTCCAAGTTCTCTAGCCCCCGTTGTTGTTTCTGCTTTCGGTTTTCGCCTTCCCTATTTCGCTTTCGGCTTGTTGCCTCATTTATTTTACTTGTCGCTCTTTTCGGCCTTTCGCTTGCCGTTGTTTTTTTGTTTTTTAATCATTTTTGCCTCTCTGATTTGGTAAAAAAAAAGAGCCAAACAACTGGGATCGCTACTGCTAGTTATCAGCAAAATTGGCCAGATACGTACATAGTACATAGTTTTGCTGCAAAAGCAGTCCCAAAGTATTCCCGTTCTAAGTGAAACTTGCTGTAATGAGATTATACGGCAAAGGCACCAAGTTAATTTCAACAAATTCGTACAATTTTATTGCTTATCTCAAAATTCAAGTATTATTTCTCGAGTCGGACTATTAAGAGGAATAAAATTTTGATTAGTTAGTTTATTTGCCAAGATGCTTCAGACATATATTTTAAATTGTTTGGATGACAAAGAAAAAATTCATTTTACAACAGATATTACAAAATTATCGCCTTATGATTCTGTTTTAATTCGTATTGTATTGACCACACCAAAACGGTCCACTTAGAAAATTAAACCTTAAAAAGAAATTGCTCTCATTTTGTGTGAAAATCAAGCGAGAGATTCCCAAGTTCGAGTCCTATAATTTTTGAGATCAAAAATAATGAAATCGATAAATTTTTTTTTTCTGAGTGTATTGCTAGTGATTCAGAATTTATTGTTTTGAGTAATAATAATTTCCTTGGGAAAACCACAATTAATAATTTATTATTTATAATTTATTTATGTAGGTTTTTCCAAAAAGGTTTATTTTGTATGTGGTTGAAAAAGATAACTTTTTTGACGTCATGTTAATAGTCACAAAATATAAAGATACAAATATTGTAATCCAAAATATTAAAATATTCTTAAATATACAAAAAGATTTAACGAGAATTGTACTTATGTGCAGATCAAAAAAATTCTTGAACATAAACTACAAGTAAACCAATCGAGTTGAGTTATATTAAATGTGAATTAAGAGTGTAAGAGGACACTCCTTTTTGAGTGCATGGTGATTTTCAGCGGAAGCGGCACCTTTGACCCGGTGACGTCTTTTGCATCCCCACCTCACCATCTTTCTCGCTCACTCCGTGTCGCTTGCTCTCTCTCTGCGCTGGAACTGTGCTGTTGGCTGGAAGCGAGGCCGCAGCCTCTCCGGCTTCAGTTTGCCGAGAACTTCCAAGTTGGAAGTTCATTCAGCTTTGACTTTTGACTCCGTGCGCTTCGTTCTCCGGTTTTTCGGTCTCCGGTAGTTTGCCACCCACTTGCTAACTTCCCATTCCCCAAATACTACAACTGTTTTGTATCTTCCCATGATTAATGCAAATAAACAAAGAAAATCGTATCGAAAACCTTTCAGAAATGTGAGAAAATGTGAGGGAAAGAGAAGTGGATGTCCAGCTGCCGCTGCTCTTTTCACACCCGCGAAATATCACGAGAAAGTTGGGGGAAAACAATTTGTTTAGATTATGTGAACGCGAGTGTTGGGTTAATGTTTGATCATCGTCGTCGCCGCCTGCTTCCTCTTCTTCGCACACACTCTGCTTTAAATTGATTTCAATGAGCTTTTTTGACGATTCTCTGGCCCGCGTGCTCCCCTGTTCTTTCTCCCCCGGATAACCCCTCTTTTTCGCTTGGCGATTATGTGCGAATGTGGCTGTGCAAGTGCCCGGTTTTCATACGACCTTGATGCTGTACATTAACCCATTGAGAGCCCCTCTCTCTCGCCCTCTTCGCTGGGCGATCGGCTTACAAAAAAACCAGACATGGGCCCTGTTTTCTTCTTCTCATTCGTGGTCTTACCTCTCTTCGTTTCTTTAAGTTTACTTTAGTTTACACTGGGCGCCAAAACTAAGCGCCATAATTGCTCATTTCAAAAATAGCTAGCACAATTCCACAGAAGTCAATGAAATTTCAAAGGATAATAAATCGGTTATTTTTGTTATACAAACAATTAGAAAAAATTTCCAGTACTAAAAAATTCTTCCGAAAAAATTTGTTATCATGTGAACCTTGAACATATAAAATATTTATATACATATGCAAATAATATACTAATGTACTAAATTATGAGTCAACTTACTTTTTAGATAGAGTAAATATTAATCGGATACTTTAAAAATAAAGTTAAATTGAATAGTCAAGTATCTTAACTATACTTTCCAATGATACGTGAAATATTTTTTATGTATGTACTTTTTTCTAGGCAAATTGTCTTTCAGATAATTATTAAAAATCGATTAGTACATGTTTGGAAAACTAAAAATTCAATTGATATATAGAGGTTCCTGTTTTTAATTAACAATCATTGACCCAATGATCAGAAAATGTCATCTGTATCTTATAATAAACAGCTAAAATAATACATTAATTCCAAGCTGGCAATTCAAAGTGCAAAACGTAGCGACCGTGGTTATGGCTGGAAAAATATTTCATGTGCCTTTTGTTTTCTTTGAGATTTCTGCCCGAATAGATAACACTGGCTTGTGTTTTTATTATTTTTTTTTGCTATCTTTGGTGTTTGTTTTGCTCATTAGCCCACACGCACACACGCGCCACGCCCACCTGCGATAAAGAAAAAAAAAGAAATGAAAAGAAAAACCAAGGTCAAAAACTAGTCAAAGTTAAGTACTTATTTAATAATTTTCTTTTTCCTCAAGGCGGTGACAAAAGTGAAAAATCGAAATGTGAAAAGTAATTTGCGTTCGAACAAAGAACCATAAAATTGAAACTTGAAGGCGTCGTAAAAAAAAAATCGAAAAGAAATAAAAAGTTCGAGGAAGTGCTTGCTGTTTAAATAAATAAAAAGTAAATAAAGTGAGAATTGGAGTTGCCAGGTGGGCATGGCCCACTGCCCGCCGAGAATCCGCTGGAACAACCAAACGAGAAGCTGCCATTGACCTCTTAATCGAATTAAGTGAATATATTAGAAACCACAAGCTACGCATCTCACTGTTGCTGGCGGCGGCTCTCCGTTCTCCAATCTCCCGCATCCCGCCACCAATTCTCCGGTTCTCCGTTCTCCGGTTTGTTAGTCTCGCCGCCAGCAAATGAACTTGCGTTCGAACTCCGCGACAAAAGAAAATGCATTTTAAGTGAATTTCCTGTGCGCAGAAGGCAATTACGCAGCTGATATCCACTCCAAAAACCCCGTGCCAGCCCCATCCCCTCCGGCAAGAATAACGCATCTGCGATGGCCACCACACCAACGGCTGGCTCAGCAGCTCAGACCTCAACGCCACAGAACTACAAGGTGCCATCGACCAGCAAGATATCCGTGGACAAGCTCCTGCGGGTCGGCTACTATGAGCTGGAGAAGACCATTGGCAAGGGTAACTTTGCCGTGGTTAAGCTGGCCACGAACATTGTGACCAAGACAAAGGTGAGTTCAATAGCGAATCCCTTCAACAGGTCCCCATCCCCCCAATTAACGAGTCGATATCTAGTTAGTCATTATAATGACTAATCGAGTGTTTGTCTTGAAAATTGAACGCAGGCGGTTAAAAGATTGATTATACATGCTATACATCAAATATGTACAAACAAAGGTACAACAGAAATTCAAATAAAAGACTAAAACAAGAAAGGAAAGCTAACTTGGGGCGGAGCCGAAGTTGATATACCCTTGCAGAATACTCTGTAAATTATATTTTCCAAAATTATTCATATGATGCATTCTTAATACTCATAAAAATCCCAACTTCGTAACTTTAAAAACACCAAAGTTATGGCATTTCCGATCAATCAGTTATATGGCAGCTATAGGATATAGTCGGTCGATCCTTATGAAGTTTGGTAGGTCAGATTGATTGGCCAAAAATAAAACCCATCGAAAATTCCAACTTCCTAACTTTACAAACACCAAAGTTATGGCATTTCCGATCAATCAGTTATATGGCAGCTATGGGATATAGTCGGCCGATCCTTATAAAATTTGGTACGTCAAATTGATTGGCCAAATACAAAACACATAGAAAATCCCAACTTCCTAACTTTACAAACACCAAAGTTGTGGCATTTCCGATCGTTCAGTTATATGGCAGCTATACTATATAGTCGGCCGATCCTTATAAAATTTGGTACGTCAAATTGATTGGCCAAATGTAAAACCCATAGAAAATCCCAACTTCCTAACTTTAAAAACACCTAAGTTATGGCATTTCCGATCGTTCAGTTATATGGCAGCTATAGGATATAGTCGGCCGATCCCGGCCGTTCCGACTTATATACTGCGTGCAAAGGAAAGAAGGGTGTGTGCAAAGTTTCAATTCGATAGCTTTAAAACTGAGAGACTAGTTTGCGTAGAAACAGACAGACAAGAATATATATACTTTATATGGTCGGAGATGTCTCCATCACTGCGTTGCACACTTTTGACCAAAATTATAATACCCTCTGCAAGGGTATAAAAAAGATGGATGAAACTAACATTGTTTTAGAGTTTTGTCTTCTCCAAGCATTATTTAATTAAATATTAACTCTTAATAACTTTAAAAGGACATGTTTTTAAACTGTTCCAATGATATAGTACACTAAAAATTAACAAATAACCTAATAGACAGTTAATGCGGTATTATTGAGCCAGTTCGCAATAAAAATACAGCGTTTTTTAAAAGGTGCGAATTAATTATGTAGGTTCGCTTTCATATATTCGAGTGCTCCATTCTTCCTTTCGAAGAAGAAATGTGCCAGGGACCGAACTAAACTCTTAAAATTATAGATTTTTAAAGAAGTGCGCGCCATAATGTAAATTGAATGTTTTTCAACCAACCAGTTCATGTTTCTTGTTGATTTTTGCGCAAATGAGTTGATCAAATTGATTTTAGTTGTTGTTCGTTGATGATTTTGTTTATTGCCGCGTAAATATGTGTACAATAATTATTTACACAAGTTATTGACAATCAGAAGATTCGTTTCGATTTCGGCATCTCGGTCTTTCTGTTTCGGCTTCGGTTGCTTGGTTTTTTATTTGCTTTCGATTGACAATGTCCGGGGAAGGGGGGAGTGGGATCAGGAGGTAGCAATCGACAGATGCTAATTGAATCGCATTTGTAAAACGCTTTAAAAGTGTGAGTTTTTGCCATCTCTCTCATTGATTACATTACACCCGTGTGCATGTGTGTGTGTGTGAACCTTTTGAGGAAGTAATTTAATTTTGCTTTTTGTTTTTGATGACATTTGCATTTACGAATCAGTTTTTGTTACGTTTTTTTCCCTTTAAGAGTTTCCTGCTATAAAGTCAAATCAAGTTGATGAGCTGGGTAAATCACAATAAAGCGCCTTTATTTTTCCTGGCTAATATACTATAGACGTTACTTAGAGCGTGTAACAGATTGACTCACCTGCATCCTTATGGCTTTTTTTTATCAGTTTCTGTGTGTGGGAACGTCGGATGAAGTGCTAACACAACAGCAACAGCTGTGACACTTGATAATTGGGATTGTCAAGAGAAATACTCACTCATGGCAGCTACAAAAACAGCAATAAAAAAAGAACTTTAATCATCAAAGTGAGGGAGGAAAAAATAAGGAAAGATTGAAACGGGGAAAAGAGAGCTGAGAAGAATGCAAATTGTTAGAGCAAACAATCGAAATGAATTTTTGCATAATTGACAACGTTGAGGAATCTGTGAAGAGCACGTGACTCTGTCGAAATCGATTTTAATAATTATCGCCGGATATGACATGATTGAAAAGGTTCATACCACTAATTCAAAAAAACCAAACGTATGTATATTGTATATAATTTAAAAAAATCGGTTTTGTTTTATTCCTTTTCTTTTAATCTACAACTGTGACAATAATATCGAAATCAGCTTGTGAAATAAAAATGGGGATGCTAATAATTTGTTTTATTATTTAAAAAACCTTATTAACTTTCTTTAATTTTTTATCAAAACAATTTTTGTGCCGTACTTTTACAAAAGTCCCAAATATTTTGAATAGGCAAGTGCCCTAAACAGCTGCTTTAAAATTAATACAATAGCAAACCTGTATTATTTAACAAGCTTCATGACAGATAGGCAGATCAGCTTCTTTCGTTTAGGTGAATTGTTTGTTGACTGTAACAAAATTTAGTTTCCCTCGATAAGAACACAGCTGTTCGAAAATTTGAAGGTCCAACGGTGCTTACTTATCTTATTTGTGCATTGCCCATCCAATGAGCATGTACATTGAACTCACTCCATATAGAATATGTACATTTGAAAGTTAAACATGAGTATGTTTCGGATTTTATTTGTATGTAGTCTTAGAGCCGGTGGCTTATCTCTCTTAAGCGCATTTGCCAAAAATTCACTATTATCAATGGAAAGTGGCAAAAGTTCATTTGTGCACATAAACAGGGTACATAGCAAACAGAAACGCGCTAAGGTAAATAACTTAAATAATGATTATTTGTTTAAACCTAGGAATCGCAGAACAATCGATAAGAAAAAGGCGATATTGAAGTATAACAAAGTATCATAAACCCGCACCATAAACTAGATTAAGTGATTTCTCCAGTAAAAATCTATAAACTGAGGCTTGAAAACCAACCATTTAAACACCTCATCCAGACAAAATTTGCTTTTATTAATATAAATATAAAATAATAAATAATATTAATTGTTTGCTTTCTTTGTTTGATGTTCTACGCTCTCTTGATCACTTTCACGTGTTACTTTTAGCTTACTTTTTTTGTGGGGAATGTGTTTGCACTCAATTGGCAAGTTTTATTTTAATTGAATTTTTCGCAGTTGCCTTGGCAACTGTTTTAATGCTCCAATTGATGCAATTAAGCACTAGCCATGCAGCGTAGCCACTTTATGTCTCTCGCATTTGCCACATAAAAAAATAAATGACAATTTAAGTTTATAAAAATGGTTAGAATCTAAAAATTATAAATTAAAAAGTAGTAATTAGAGTTGTATAATATTTTGTAGATCAATCCTAAATACCTTTTAAATTTTTTCCTATTATAAGTCATTTTTAAATGCACATTAAATTGATATAAATTTAAGATATCTCTAATTCAGTTACAATATAAATGTTTAAATGTGGGTATGATCTTTATTGTGAAATAAAATATAAAGGTGTGAAATATATGTATGTAATACCAAAAATAATCTTACCATACTTTAAGACATTAATTTTAAGTGATCTTAAACGCAAGTGGTTTTTGTGATACTACTAAAAATGTTAATAAAAATATTGTTTTTTTATCTATCCTCATTTTCTTTTGTGTGGCTCGCAGTGAACATTTCACCGAATTATAACGAGGTGCCAAAGTAAAGTCTAGTAATTTTAACACTATATTTTTCTCCGTGCAGCCCTATTCTCTGCCCGTCTTGTTCACATTTGTTGATTGATCTTTCGCTATGGGCAAATATTTAAGCTGCCGTCTGAGCGTTGCCTTTTGGCCAGCAGACCGAAAACATGTTTGAACACCCAACACGCGTCAGACCGAATACAACGGGTGGAGGCAGGACAGTGTATGAAATCGTTTAACAATTTTTATTTACCTTTTCATTAACAATTTCGCGGCTTTTTGCTGCTCGCTTTTTGTTGTCTGCGGTTTTTATAATTTTCGTGTGTGTTTACAAAACACCAAAAAATCATGCGCACTAAATCTAAAGGTCGTCGTTTTTATTTTCCTTACTATTTCCCGTTCTTATTTGCCTGGCTGCGATAGTAATAAAAGTATGTTGGTTTTCTTTCTCTTTCTGCAGCAGCAATAGAACCCATACATTGTCGGCATACCAATGATAACCGAAAATGTTATCAAGTGGTGTTGTTTCTTCTGCTGATTCTTCCTCGGCGACTTTTTGTCACCGTCCGCAAGAAAAGTAAATTCGCAAATCAGTCACGTGCGTTGGCCCTCTCTTTTGCACGCCCACACCCACAGCAGAGTGGGTGGGGTGGGTCGCTGTTGGAGGGAGGGAGACGGACGTCGAACAGCACGCGCCAAGTTAATGCTCCCTGCATGCTTCACTCCTCCCATTCACAGGGCTCTTTCGATTGTTTTGCTTTTGATTTGACTTTGCAGGCGATAGCAAAACAAATAATAAATCAACATATTCTCAAGTGTTTCCTCCGCATAAACAGTCTTGCTTCCATACCATGAACTTTTGTAATTTGAACTAACTTAACTTAAATTTCAATAATATTATACAATGTGGAACGCCACAATTTTCATTTCTTCATAATTTAAAATTTTTATAACTTCAAAATTGCCATAACGATTAATACAATTTTTATCTAAAACCGAAATGGCCATGTTTATATTTGTATGCCTGGAATATAATATTTTCCAAAATTATAAATCTCTTAAAACTACATATGTATAAAAATATTAAAAAATGTTTCTTTATGTTTCTTAAATATCAAAAACAATAAATTCTAAGATGTTTACAAAAATTGTAAGCTTCAATTGTTAAGTATACGTTGCAATTAAAGAAGTACCACTGTATTTCCTTAACCATATTTGCGGTTTTCATTGAAACTTTATTAGCGCGCCAAACTTCTGATCGACACTTGAGGTTGTTGGGTGGATTTTCCCTGTCTACCACGGGTACTGATTAGAAATTAGTTAACTGCGAAAGCAGTCTTATCCCCCAACCAGTTTGCCCCATTTCCATTGGCAATTAAGTAGGCCATGACATGGAAACTGTAATTGTAGTAATCGATTTTCCATTTCCACTGAAAGTTGCCGCCACCGGTTGGAAATTTTTAAAATCCAGGCAAGCCAAATAAAGTTTACTGACCCCAGACAAAGGAGAAGAAGAATAGGTGGTGCAGCAGCCACGAAAAGGGGGTGGGAAAGGTGAAAGCGAAGGAGGTCGCATATCGATTAAACACGCGGAAAGAGGAGGTGGGTGGGTGTGCTGGCAACACGTTTGATTACCCCGTGTAAATAACAACAACACGAACACTGCAAAAGTTGCAAGGACTCGTTCGTTGGACGTTGTGCAACGATCACATGTTACAGAAGCCCCATGGAAAATCCAAAAGTCGATGAACAAAAGCCACCGGCTCCAAAAGCCCAGGCACCGGAGAAACCCATTCGTAAGCGGACTCAAGTTAAGATTCAAACCAAAACCAGGACTCCAAAGCCAACACCTACCGCCATACTGTGTGAATTAACTCGCCTGAAGGCCCAGCAAAAATATCTTGAATGCCATCAGGTCAAGCTAAACCCCAATAATTTTATACTCCATGACGATGAGGATACAATGGATACTGATCAAAAGTCAGAGGGTGAAAGAACTGCTTCGGAAAACCCAGAAACAAGCCGAAATCCGCGACTGAACAGTTCCTCCACTGCAGAATTAATTAGCCTGATCAACGAAATCGAGCGGGAGAAACTGGAAATAAATGAGAAGTTACTGCAATATCGCACTGCCAAGCGTGGAGAACTTCAGGACATGTGGCATTTTGTGGCCACCATAAAAGAGGACGTCTTCCGGCCAGAACGTCTCAGTCAGTACACAGTAAATGCTCTAAGAGAAAAAATCATTGGCGTGAATACCCAACTCTATCGTTTATCTGCCCAGAACTCTAAAGAACTCGAGGAGTTGAAGGAGGAGTATGAGAAATTGGAGCGCGAGAATAAACTTTTATGGAAAGGTAGCATGTAGCTTTAAAGACTAGATCAATAGAACATATTGCTATTTGCAGAAATACTTGTTAATTACAATTTAAAGATAAGAATAAGTACCAATTAGCCGCAAAGTTGCGAGCTTATATTGAAAATATTTTTCTTTATTTTATTGAAATTATATTTAATTTGAGTCAAAAAATATTTGTAAGCATACTTTATTTACTATAACAAAAGTATAATCAAATGTAACCAAAAACAAATAATAATTATTAAACTGTCACAATTAACGGACAAGCGCAAAAACCCCAAAGTCTGTTAAAATACTTGTTATTAATTTGGATTACTAAATCCAATAAAGTATAATAGAAATAATAGGTTTTGCACCTGAATGCATTAAGATTGGTATGAATTACGATTTGCAGGCAAATATTTCTGAAATTCTTGACATTGTTTCAGGGCTCTTATTTAATGACCGACACTCGTAATCAACAACATTTTAGACCTTGCCTTGAGTTTGCCTTTTAAATCAATAGGACCTTTTGATACGATTTTTTTTTGCCTTCGGCTGAAGGATTCCTAAAAGGAGGCGACACTGGTATTTTTTGCAATGCCTGTTATAGTTGTTGTTATTTCTGGTAGCGATTATTTTGAAATGTCTCATTTGCGAGCAGGGCTTGAGGTTCATCGCATTCGCCGGCGACCAAAAGGAAAGGTCAAATGGCACGTGGCAATGGCATTTCTGTTCCCCCTCCTTCTGATTCCCCCTTATTCCGTTGTTAGCTGAAGTTCACACTGCTCACGTGGCATTGGCGATTTCTAGGGCGTAATATCAGTGCAGAATCAGCTTTTGTTTCATGCAATTATGTAAAAGTGTCAAACTCATCTCGCTACCCGTTCACTATCTCTTTCGCTCAGTAGACATTACGCATACGCCGCATTGCACTGCTGAGAACACATTTTTGTCTTTACTATAAACAAATAGTTTACATTGCACACTTGCCTCAAGTTCAAAGTCTCTCACAGTGGCATTTATATAGAGTGTGATTTAATTTTTTTATTGCAAGTCGTTTGATTGAAAATGACAGGACTTGTGTCCATTGATTTAAAAGGAAATTTATATTTATATATAACAAAAAAAAACCCTTAATTACTCAGGAAACAGAACGAATTGGTTTAAACGTTGAGCAAACAATAAGAAAAATGTTTAAAGAAACCGGTGGCGATGATGATGCTTTTGCTCAGTGTCGTCGAGCGAGAGAGCAAGTGCTCAATGAAAAGAGACGGGGCGAGTGAGTGAGTGTAGGCTTACTTGTGTTGTTAATTATTTAACATTGTGTTAAATTTTTTAAATGTTTTGCGAATACACAAAAGCAAATAAACAGTCAGCGGCGGCAACGTCGTCGGCGGCGAACGAAAGTCGTGAGCAAAGAATGTTTTTGTCTTGTCTCCCTTGACCGCCACCGCCCCCGCCCCCCTCTCACCCGCCGGTTGGCTCCCCTTCCGCCCCGAAACCGCCATCTCTCAGCATCGCATATTCACATATCCGTAGTGATCCCGAGATCCGAACACGCGCACCATGTATGGCGCTGTCATCGTGTGTTGCTGCTGTTGGTGTTGCTGCTGTCGGTGTTGCTGCTGTTGGTGTTGCTGCTGCAGACTATGCGCCACCAATCCACCCACCTAGAGGCTTAGGCCCTGGCAACAGCAACGAATACAGTGTCTTATATTATCATAGCATTGAGTACTAAATTTGGTAATGGTATCATTTAAATACATAAATATCAGAATAATGTTTTTAAAATAAACATATTTCCTTTATTTTAGTTATAAATAAATATCAATATCTATGATTTATGCCTGGGAACCAATTGTCTATTAAATCATTTTGCTTATGCTATAATTCTAATTATTAAATTAAACATAAAGACAATAAGTTAAATTAGAATTTAACTATTTTTTTCAATGTATTGCTGCAGAGGAACTGGGTGAAAAACAGTCTTTAAATTAAATATTAGAAAATTTAGTTAATATACTTTTAAATTTAAGTGGATGTGGAGAAAGCATTTTCACTTAATTAAACCTATTAGACTACAAAAAGAATTATAAAGGAAGTAGCTCTTTATTACAAATTGGTTTTAGAATATTAAATCTGCCATTCGCATTTCTAATAGGCAAGCGAATTAATTTTGTATCAACTTGCGTAATTTTCACGGATCAATACTTACCAATGTCAGCAAGCCAATTAATTTTCTGTACATTTCTTTTTTGCTTATGTATTTGCAGTGTTAAATATGAAATATACTAAATGACTTAATTTGTGATAAGTGCTTTAAATTTATGTAATTGATTTTAGAAAATCGAGTAAAGCAAATAAGTCTTTTATTATTATTTAATACTGAATTTAAATAAATAAATAAACATGTGAATATTTTTGAATAGAGTAGGTAATGTTACTGTCTATCTAAATGTATGCAGTAATGCAGTTCATAACAATAAAAGTCAATTTTTCAAAAAGTCAAATTCTTGCTTTTGTGCCACTGTTTTGTTAGCCAAGCGAGACACGTTTTTTTGGCCGGCCCACGCAGTTTAAATTTCGGGGCTCTCTTTTTTTTTCTCCCGCATTTTAAAATCTCATTTTTCCCTTTTTCTCGCTCCACTGCCAATGTTCGTTCGTTCACCTGCGGCCAAACAAACCAGAGAAACGACAAACAATTAAGCAGAGAATGACATTTTTTTGGTTTCTCGACTAAATGTGTTTCCCTATTTGCTCTCGAAATCTTTTGCAGGTTGCCATCAAGATAATAGACAAGACATGTCTGAACGAGGAGTACCTGAGCAAGACGTTCCGCGAGATCTCCATACTGAAATCCCTGCGGCATCCGCACATCACCCGCTTGTACGAGGTGATGGAATCGCAGTCGATGATCTACCTGGTGACTGAATATGCGCCAAACGGTGAGATCTTCGACCACCTGGTGGCCAATGGAAGGATGAAGGAGCCGGAGGCCGCACGCGTCTTCACCCAACTCGTATCGGCTGTCCACTACTGCCACTTGCGGGGGGTGGTGCACCGCGATCTCAAGGCCGAGAATGTCCTGCTCGACAAGGACATGAACATAAAGGTGAGTGGGGGTCATCATCACATAAATTAGTGATGTGGCTGAAATAAGACATATCCGATTAAACTTTAAAAAATATAAGCATATAATTATTAATAGGATACAAAAGGATTTTATTTTATTTATATTTTGTAGTAGATTGTGAATTCATAAATAATTTGTCTTCCCAATGAAGTTTATCAAAGAAAACTTAAATTACATATATAAGTTTACTGACGAGAAAAGATTCTAACGTTGAAAAAATAATACTTCAAATATATATCATTAAAATATTTGTAATTGTTAGAATTATATAAGAAGTAACTTAGCTAAATTTAATTTTAGAATTTGCTCTTAAACGTTTTCATATTTCTTGCAGCTGGCAGACTTTGGCTTTAGTAATCACTACGAAGAAGGCGCCACTCTAAGGACCTGGTGCGGATCCCCACCCTATGCTGCTCCAGAAGTATTCCAGGGACTGGAGTATGACGGACCCAAGTCGGATATCTGGAGTTTGGGCGTTGTGCTGTACGCCTTGGTCTGCGGAGCGTTACCCTTCGATGGCAAGACCATCTTGGAGCTGAAAAGTCGCGTAGTGTTGGGCAAATTCCGCATTCCCTTCTTTATGTCGCAAGGTGAGCATACAATAAAGGAAATGTAACGATTTATGGAATGACGTATTGCAGCATTGACATCTGAAAAAAACCTTGCAATAGCTTGTTTATCCATTATCCATAGTAGAAATAGTAGACTAATTAAAAATTTGCATCTTTCAGAATGCGAGCAGCTAATCCGCAACATGTTGGTGGTGGAGCCTGACCGGCGATACACCATCAAACAGATCATCAAGCACCGCTGGCTCAGTGAGTGGCAGTCGGAGATGCAAGAAGAGGAGCGCTTCGATTCCCTATCCTTTGCATCCGGATCGGGGACGGTGTCCAAATCGGCATCCACATCCTCGCTGGGCAGTGTGGCGGACTCACCGCCTCAGCTGGACTCGGTGGTGATGACGCACATGCTCCAACTGCCCGGACTGACCGCCGACATGATCGCTCAGTCGGTGCACGAGCAAAGATTCGACAACATCTACGCCATTTACAACCTGCTGCAGGACAAGCTGCAGCAAAGACGGCGCGAAAACCAAAGACTGCAGCACCACGCCAGCCTGGCCTACTCCCGATCCCGCAAGACGAGCATCACGACGGGCGTGGTGGATCGCTCGGAGCCCGTAAAGCAGGAATCTCTGGACCGGCTCAGTCCGCTGAGCAATGCCAATGCCTCCAGCTCGGCTTTGGGCTTTGGCTGGTCCGATGTCGCCGTGGATTTGGAGAAGTTTGGTGACTTTGAGCTCGAATGCCTGGCGCGATCCAATGAGGTAGGAAAGAGGCTTCAAATGAAGAACCCACAAATGTTTTAATGACTCATATGTCACCATACATGTAATTTTGAAAGATTTTTTATTAATTGACCTCCTTTTCTTCTAGCCTCCGATTAATCAGCAGCACTTGAGCGCCCAGGCTGGCGGAGGCGTCAACGGGGCGAATACGCGACGGCACACAGTGGGACCCGGAGATGTGGCTCACGAGCAGGCGCTGGCCAATCCCCATGTACCGCCCATCGACTTTAAGTGTCCACCGCAATGCAGTGATCCCACACAGCTGGTTCCCTACTATCCGGTTAATCTGCCCATGTTGCAGAATCAGCCCCTGCAAAATCTCACCATCAAGGATCAGCATCTACTCAAGCCGCCTGTAGTAATGGGTGCCAGTAAGTATTGACCATTGGTCTAAAAAAAACCATTTACGAATATACTTACGTTTCTTTTATCTTGTCAGGCTCATTTGGACGTCGTGCCTCGGATGGCGGAGCGAATCTTCACATCTACTATCCCGCGACGGGCACCGTTGTGGGTCCAGCTCAGGGTCAGCAAATGGAGACAGCCGGGTACTATATCAATCCCAATTGTGGCACAGATCCTTTGGCCGTGCAGGAGTTGTCTCCGCTTAACGAACAGGCAGGATCCCAGATGCAGTGCTGCCAGGAGAATGCCACCGGCGAATGCAACGAGGAGCTGCAAAGGTTGAATTGGGACTTACTTCCTTTATGAGGCCATGATAACAATGTTCTTCTTTGTAGTTATATGCAGAAGCGCGGAGGAACCCAGCGACATACGGTGGGATGTACGGAGGATCTCTCCGTGACACATGGCCCGGGACCCGGATCACAATCCCAGGCGCCAACTACCTCCTCCAACATGCGGCAGCGGCGAACGGGTCTGCTCACGGTCACCGAAAGGCCGCCAGGTGCGTTTAAGTGGCTAGCTAAGAAAAGAGTTTGGGGATTGATTTTACAAAAATCCTGTGAATGAAACAAATTTTAAACAGCTTATAAATGTCTTCATTTAGTTGAATCATTCCTAAAGTATATCAGTAATTTGAAGCTGCCATAAAATGTCATTTTGGCTAACTTATTTAACGTTAATGTTTAAAACAAACAAAAATAAGGAAATCAAAATTAAGCAATAATAATTAAAACTGACTGAAAGTATTTAAAGCGCTTAAACGGTCGACTTTGCTGCATGGCTCTATTAATAGCTTTAATTCCGTCTTAAATTGTATAATTAAGTATTTTATTTGTAAATTGACCAGTTGTTAATTTTGTGTCAAACATTTATTTATAATTTTATTACTGTATTAATTTTATGGTTTGCTTTTTATACTTTCTTTTTATGTAAACATTTTTGGTTTATTGCAATTGATAATTTTGCATCGCCCGCTACTGCACAACAACAACAACTACAACCGCTACCGCTCCTGATCTCGCTGCTTGAAATCCCCTCTACCTAATCCGCATAAACGATAGTGATTCCCCCTGAGCTAATTCGCGAGGTTGAGTCTCGCATGAACCGCGACTATCTGCCACCCACCCTGAAATCTCTTAGCCAATCGCCTCCCAATGGCACATACCCGGTGGGCGTGGCCCTGCCCTTGGGCATGTCGAAGGGTGTGTCGCCACCCCACTCGCTGCCTTTGGTGGCATCCGCCGGTGGGTCCGTGCCCCTGGTGGCGGCCAATAACCGGCGCATCCATCCACGCATGGGCCACCCGAAGTTGCCCACCGTTCAGGAGGGTGGTAAGTCTTGAGATATTCTCGCGTTCTCCTGAAGATAGGTTATGATCAGGGTGACCATAAAACTCATAATAACTTAAATTCATTATTTTGATTCCTTTAATACTTGAAATTTATTTATTTTGTTTTTAATTGAAATAATTGTTTTATTAAAAAAAAGAAAATTATAATAATGAGCTTGTAATTAATTAAACGTATAGTTTAAAATGGTAACTTTATTTTCACTACCCTAAACTTAATTACGTCTGATGTTTAGAAATGAATATAAAACACTTACGTAAATACTTTCTCTGCTTAAAAACTTAACTATAGCTTATCATATATATGCAAATTCCGGTTTGAAATACTATATAAACTAAAATGCATTTACAATTGGTTGACATTTTCCCTCCATTTCCTCTTCTGTACTTTTTACCCCCGCTGCTTGCAATTTAGCGACAATAGGACGTTACAGTCCAGTGCGTCGTGCCTCGGAAGGATCTAAGAGCCAGTTCCAAGGACCGCTGCAGGAATGCCAATCCCTGCAGAAAGGTATTGCACAGAGAAACTTTTTGGTTGCACCCAGTCCGCCGCTTTTAGAAAATTCGATCAGTTTGCCAGGTAAGAGACGAAGACCAAAATTAACGCCACAAGCTTCGACACAAGCTTATCCTCAAAACGAATATGAATAATTTTAAAATTCTGTTTTTAATAGGTTCGCCCATACATGGCAAACCTGGCATGGGCTTGCAGCTGGCCCTGCGGCGTGGCCATGACATAGAAGTTCCTCCGGAGGCCATCAAGACCCTGATGCCAGCCCTGGATCGCTTGGTCAAGGAGCAGCGCGTTAGCTTCGAAATAGCCAACAAGATAATCTCAACGCATGTGGTGCCGATGGATTTAGCTCCTCTGCTGGGACTGGCAGCCCATGCTTCGAGTGCGGCGACGGTTAGTGGAGGACACCTGGACCAGAGTCACTTGTTGCACCACCAGCAGCAGCAACAGCAGCACCTGCTTAGCTTCAGTGTTTCCCCACTGAGCCTGCCGCAGGGTGGTGCGGTGAATGCCTCGCTGACCTCCGCCAAGCAGATGTTTGGTCAACCAATCTGTGGCTACCCGCCATATCAGCCCATGACCCTGGCCCTGCAGCCACAGCATCAACAGCAGCTGGTGGGCCAGTTCAGCAGCATCAATCTGGGAGCCAGCAACTCAAATTCGAGCAGCGGCTGCCAGTCGCCGGTTTACAGTAGCAGCTTCAGTGGCAGTTGCTCTCCCAATCCTTACCTGCCCTGCCCTGGCGGTGGCTCCTCTCCGCTACACCAGATCACCAAGGGAATCTCTGGATTGAGCACTGGATGTGCTGGTGGCTCCATCACGAGGGGCACCTCGGCCGCGAGCGAAGGAGCAGCTGCAGCCGCCGCTGCCAATCAACCACTGGACCTCTCCATGGATGTTTGCGGCGGGATGATGGATCAGCAGCCCACGGACTATGCAGCAACCAATTGGTTCATGCCCACAGCTTCGTATTACGATTTGAAACCGCTGAATCTATCGCCTGCACAACCTGTAAGAGTAGTGCCAACGCCCCCAGCGTCACCCAACTTATGCATCATCCAGGAGGAGAATGGGAACGGGCAGATGTGTCACACTATCAGCACGGGCACGCCATATGCCGGCTGTACCGGAGGAATTACGCCGCAGATATGCCTCACCGATGTCCAGGGCAGCGAGATTACGTTGGTGGCTTTATCCTCGGACAATAGTCGCGATAGCGAGGATTCCCTGGAACAGCACACACCTGTTATGTCACTGCAGGTAAGATCAATTTTAATTGCCTAAAAGTTTTTAAGAGAATCGTAATTTTATTGCAAAATTAATTATAATTAAATCTCCTTCTAGGGCCTGATCATTACGGAACCCAGCAGCGATATGCCTTCAATTACCAGGGGGATTGGACGTAAGACCAGCCTGGACTGCGAATCGAGCGGAGGAAGTCATTGTCCAGTAGGAAGTAGCTCCTCCCACCCCGGCCAATCACAAGCCCAGGCTCAAACCGAAGCCCAGTGCCGAAGGGGCAGCGACAAATCGCTGGGCTTCTCGGACGATTCGCTTAGCAACGACTCGAATAACCTCTCGCCCTGCCAGGAGCCATCCGCCAGCTCCGGCTTTAAGTCGGATTCTCACTCGGAGATGGGCGATCATACGGAATGCGGTCATCTAACACCCGATTCCATGTGCGACTCGCGGCGCATGTCGGATGAGATGTGCTACGAGGTGCCGCTGCCACATGAGTGCTCGAATCTGGACTCCACCCGCATTCTGGAGATGGTGAAGCAGACCATAGACTCTACAATGCCACCCAAGGGCTTTGTGCTGCACAAGGGAAGCATTAGTTCGGAGGATAGTGGGGCAGAATCGCGTCATAGTAGTGCCTCCAATGCATCCAGCTCGAATCCCTTGGCATGCGAGGCGGCCTCGCTCCTGGCCTCACACTCTGGCTATGGAGAGCCGACCACCAATCTTAGTTTGGAGTACTCGGGCGGACTGCAGATCGAACTGCAGGTGTGCGAGGGACGCAGCCGGGATCACCATGGAGCCGGCAAGGGCATCAAGTTGCGCCGTATTTCCGGGGACCAGTTCGAGTACGGAAAGATCTGCCAGCAGTTGATCAGCACCATCACCATGCAGCAGGTGGCAGGCTAAATTGAGGAATCCCGCCCTGCTACCTACCTAAAATGACTACTCGCCTTGCCTAAACTCTGCGTAGCTGTGATCAAAGCCGATATGTACGATATAGCCATCCTAAAAAGTAGCAATTGGACAGGAGTTAGCTTTCAATTTCCTAAGCAAGTTTATCCCTTTCCCGATTTTCGAGTTCAGTAGCGTAATCAAAATTTTAAATATCAATTATAAACACTTTTTTAAATTGTTCGTCGACCACACCGATTCTTAGCTAGTTAAATTCAAAACGGAACGTGTATATACGTGTAGAGATAATTCAAATATTCGCAAAAATATTATATATATTAACGATTTACGCACATGCCAACATAGTTTAGAGAATTTGTAATACAAATTGGGTGGCGAAATGTTTTTCAGCAACAGGAGCAAGTAAAATACATTCCAGTAGCAGAAATTTCATACAAAGGAAACCAACGTTCGTTCTAGCCGTAAAGTTTATTAATATTTAGAACTATACTATATATATATATATATATATATATATATATATATCGACTAATGTTACTTTCGACTTTTGTGCAATTCGTAAACGAGATATATGTGTTTATTTTGTCAACTCAGTTCAATGACTATACGTACATCTATATTTGCATGAGATATAGATAACCTAAATGTTAATATATAGGTGATTACTAAATATGTAGTTAGTTTGCAGTGGCAATTCGTAGCTCCGATTAGTGGTAAGCTCTTGATTCCGTTAAATATTAAACATTTTTTTATGAATGTAGTGAGAGTTTGTTCAGTTATTATACACACACGATCTATGGTTAGAGTTATATTCTACGAATTAAACACTACATTGATACATCTATTTTTTAATGAAAGACTGCTGTGATTTTAAATGTAATTAATTAATTTAAAGCGAAAGAAAGAATAAGTAAACAACAAAAAGGAAAAACAAAAAACTACAAACTTGAAACCAATTAGTTATATCATTATATAAATAAACAATTCAACTTTATCTTAAATAAATTACCAATTCTCCAAACATTAACTAATGTGGTTTTTGATGATTATATTTAAAGCTGGGGAGTATGAAATAATATATTTAAAGTAATAAATGGTTTAATGGAAGAGAGGAAGAATCAATAGAACATGTAATAAATAAAATATTTTAAGAGCTTTTAAGGCAAGCTTATTAAAGTAAATAATGAATTAATCTTTAAAATGAATTGAATAAATATATTTAAGTATTTCACTTACAAAAGGTATTATACATTTTCAAATTTGGCGACTGGTTTCGATTACGATTAACGATATTTCTTTCGATATCGATTGTCTTTTCCTTAGGTATTTATTGACCATCTGAAATACAGCCACACTTAAGCAAAAAAGTCAACAAACAAAACATTTTTGCTTTAAAAGTTTTAATGTTTTGATTTAAGCATGATTTGCCGTTTGTGCCTGAACAACGCCAACGATTCGGATACTATACGGATTTTCGAAGACGATGGACTTTCCCTAAATGTGGCTAATGTGCTGGCCAAATACTTTTGGTTTGAGGTAAGCCCTATCCCGGGTTCTTTTTTGTTGGGAAACTATAAATATTAATTGCTTAATTTCAGCCTAAAAGCGATGATCCTATATCCACGGTGATTTGTTTGACCTGCTGGAATCAGGTGAACGATTTCCACCAGTTCTATGGTGAGGTGGAAAGAGCACATCGTTTGCTTACGGAAAGGTTTTCGCTGAAATCTGGCCAGGATCAGGGAAAAGTAGAGCCGGGTGAGGACTTTAATCTTCCGGAGGATGAGCAAGATGAGGATCAGGAGGTGGGCTTACCCGCCAGCGATTACGAAAGTGGTTCCTTCAACAACGAGCAGTTTCTCAGCGATGTCATCGCACAGCAGGAGGAGCAAGAGAAATCCAAGCCTCTAGAAGAGGACTTAATTAAGGAGGCATCGGAACCAGTGCCGGACCTAGAGAACCTCCGAGATCCCGTACCCACCATACCCAGAGAGGAACGGAGAGAGACACGATCCACCACCAAGAGTAAATCGCATCAGGCAATAAGTCCTGCTCCTCCGCCACCACCAGAAAAAACTAAACCTCCTGCGACAAAATCCAGAGCCAAGAAAAACGCCTGCAAGCCAGAAGCAACCTTGAAAAAAACCAAACGCTATGCGGACTACAAACAGAGCATGTTGGAAATCGATGCCAAGATCTCTGCCCATATGCGACTCACCTGCGATGTGTGCCACGAGGGTCAGGAAACATATTTGCTCCTCTGCAAGCACATGATGCAGGAGCACCATCGCAAGGGGTATGTCATCTGCTGCAACAAGAAGTTCTACAAGCGCTCCTTCCTCACCGATCACATCGATCGTCATGCCGATCCCGAGAAGTTTAAGTGAGTGGTAAAGTGGAGGAAGCCAATCTGATAGAGAAATCATTGCAAGAGGGCTATTAATAAATGAGAAATTTCATTGCAGATGCACTCATTGCGACAAGCATTTCGCAGACAAGCAGTGTCTGAGAAACCATGAGCTGTTGAAGCATCATCCGGAGGAGGAGAAGACCTTTATGTGCGAGCAGTGTCCCAAGAGATACACCAAGCAGTATTTATTGGATCAGCACCGCGTTATTCACAAGGAGCGTAATGTGGTGTGCGATCTCTGCGAGAGGAGGTCTGTCTTGCATTGCACATATTAAATTAGTCTTTACCTTTATTCCCATTTTTTTTTTCCAGGTTTCCCAACCAATCCTTGCTCTGCACGCACGTCAAGATGGCCCATGGCAACTACGGCACTATGTGCGACATCTGCGCCCAGGTCATTCGTGGTCGAGCGGCCTTTCAGCGCCATCAGTTGGAGCATGCTGGAGTCACCGAACCCAAGGTGCAGTGTGATATCTGTGGATCCTGGCACAAGAACAAACACAGCCTCAAGAAGCATGTGCGACGACACAATGGCACCGCAGCCACCTGCGACCTTTGTGGAAAGGTATCGCCCAACCGCAGCGCCATGCTCAGTCACCAGCGGTACGTGCATCTCACGGATAGGAAGCACGAGTGCAGCGTGTGCGGAAAAGGCTTCAAGAAGGCCATTACGCTGAGGGAACATATGACCACGCACACGGGCGAGGTTCTCTACAAATGTCCCCACTGCCCAAAGACTTTCAACTCGAATGCAAATCAGCACACACACCGCAAGAAGTGTCATCCCAAGGAGTTCGAGGAGGCGCGAAAGGCACGCTCCGAGAAACGAAAAGCCATTAATGAGGAAGCGCCCAGCATTCTGACCATCTCAACGGGCGAGGATGGAGGTGAAACCACACACAGCATTATCTTGGCGAACAGCGACGTGGATCTCAAGGCCGACACCATCGAGTTCACCCTGTGTCTTAGTCCCGATACCACAGATTGAAAAACATATTTCTGTTGAAAGTCGTTACATGTATTTGCATCTCTGTTACAAAACTAATTGGCGGTATGGGAGTTGATGAATTTCTGTAAAATGAAATTCTCTCAATTCCCATTCCATTTTAGAAACAGAGAAGTTTATTTTAAGATCCTTAGGCTAGCAGCGTTTAACAAAATAGACGGAGATTTTAAGTGGAATGTTGCATTATTCAGTTTAAGGAGCGAGTACTAACCCCGTTCACAAATAATTTCCACAGCATTGGGCTCCATTAAAACGGACTCCAAGCAGCGTTGGACAGCTGAGCCAAGAATCTCGTCCAGCAGAAAGTTGACCAGGCTGAAAAACCATTATTTCGTTATTCCCAACTCCTTCAAATCGTAGCAAACTCACTTTTCATCGCTAACAAAGCGCCATAGGTTCATTTGCAGATAGTGCGCATCCACCTGGATCTGTTGCAGCCCGTACTTACTGAAAGTTCTTAGCCTCACGCACTCTAGCAATGTCTACAAGGAGAAATATCATTAATATAATGCCACTCTTTACATAATCTCTTACTTTAAGACCAATTTTAATGATCCCCATCACAATTGAGGCCTTGGTGAACTCCACCGAAGTAAATATCTCCACTCGCTCTGAAAACAATCGGTGTATGTTGGACACATAGCTGGACTCCAACTGCGAGGGCGTGTAGTTAGACCAATTGGATCGATATTGTGGTTTGGAGGTGGAAGCAAAGTTACTGAAGTATGTTTTACGACTGGAATCGCTGCTGGCTGTGGTGCGGAATCCTGACGCAGTATTCGTTGTTGCCTCGTAAAGGCTGGCCACCACCGTCTCGATGCTGCCCAGCTCCTCCACCACGCGCTTCATCACTGCCCGCACGGATCGCGGTTCCAAGCAGTTGAGCCAATCCCGTGTCTCGACGCTCTTGCGCAACATTTGCGATATGTTGGTGCCCTGAAGCCGTACATAAGAGTCCAGAAGTGCCTGTGCCGTTTCCCGCATCTCTGCACAGATCTCGGTTTCGTGGGTCAGTGTGGCACTGTTCTCCGAGTCGATTTCGTACAGGTCATCCACCAAAGCGATCTAAGGAATATGTTTATTATGGAAATTGTAGATAATGCCAACAAAAGAATGCTTACCAGTATGTGGACGCCCTGCTGCTCTAGTTCCAGACACGTTTTGGACAGCACTAGCAGCAGATTTGGTGGACTGGAGCTAGAGGCATCACCAAAACCGCACATCACCTTGGCGATATGGCGCAGAAAGCCTATCAGCAAGTTTTCTCGAATGCCCTCCACGCAAAGGGCGCCCTTGTGCTCTGCCTTAATGTTGAACGACCAATCGGTGCGCAGGAATATAAGCAAATCCTGCAGCACGCCTTTGATCTTCTCCACCATGGCCACATACAGGTTGCTGATCAGATCACTGAGATTCAGACCAGCAGCTGCATCGCTCTTGGCGGAAACCAGAGACAATCGAACCGCACTCAAGCTATCGGCAAAGTGATCCTTGAGGTTCTTGGCGTGGGCATCACAGAGTTGGTGGGCAGCCGATATAATAATAGAGACTGTGTTGCGTTGCACCTCCAAGCCTCGACAGATGTTCCGCATGGCTTGCAGGCGCCGATGCAGGCGATCCAGAGCCCGCAGCATCACCTGGGTGTCCCCAAAGCCAATGTCGGACTCAACGCGATCCTGGACAAGATTCAGATACTTGTCAATGTTCTGGTTGAGGAAGACATTCAGCTCCAGCAGGGCGTTCTCCTGGAAGTCATCACTAAAAATGGAAGGGATATTAATATAAAAGTAAGATGAGAAATTAATAATAAATATACCGCTCTTGCTCGTAATGCTTGGCCACAAACATGTCAAAGTAGGAGGTCACGACCAGCGCCAGGTCGTTGAGGAAGCCATCGATGCCCATGTCCACAAACTCGAGCATGTCCCGCTCCGTCTGATCCTGCAGCATGACAATCTGCTCGTGCAGTCGCTTGCCCGCGCAAGTCAGCATTTCGCTGGCCAGATCCGAGGTCTTCTCGTCCAGCTGCAAGAGCAGCTCTCCAATCTCCGTCAACGATTGGGCTGTGTTTCCCGCTCTTTGAAAGTCCTTCCGCAATTGTTCCTTCAGATCCGCCATAATGGCATCGCAATCTCGCTGGATTCCGTCGAACGAGGGCTGCCTGCCGTATTGGGCGAACACCTTCTGGGCGTGCAGGTAATCCTGGACAGCTTGGGCGTAGTTTTGCTCCTCGATCAGGGATTTTAACTTGGCCGGGAGCGTGGATAGGAACTGCAGTCGCTTGAGCAGCGAATGTTTCTCGGACAGGCGACAGAGTTGCGATCTGGTGCCCTGCAGTGTCCCAGTTATCTGCTCACTAAATGAGGTTATAGATTGCATCTTGGTCTTCAGCAGATTCACATCCGTTTCCATCTGCTTGAAGTCATCTTTCATTCGGCGAATTGTGTCCGTGGCGGAGATAAATTTATTGTAGTTCTCGTAAACAAGAGTCTGCATATCCGAATGCAAAGTTTGGGTGTCTTTTACCACCGCCGCTTCTGTATCCATAATTTGCCTCAGGGAACAGTCCTAAATTCATGAATAATAATTAAAACATACGTCCAGTAATTGGATGTTACTTCAGCGTATTTCCATACCCACCTTCAGCAGTCTCTCTAGATACTTTTCCGCATCGAAAGTGGAGCTGTCCATGTCGAAGGGATTGGCTTTAGTTTCAGCCATTTCGCAGACCTTATTTTCTAAGCCTAACTAAACAAATTAATGTAAATCTTCCTATTTTGTTGTTCTTTTACAGATGAAAAGTTACGCAGTGTTGGTAAGTGCCAAATTATAATCTCACTCAACAGCTGACAAAATAATATCGTTATCGATAGCCGAATTGCGCTCCAAAATATATTTTTTAAACCCTGAATTAAAACATAGATTTTGTTTGGTTTAAAAAAACAATTATCCAAACGCTTTGCCCGTTGAGTTCACGCTGTTAAGTATAAGAGTTTTTATATTTTTTTAAGGAACACAATAAAACATTATTTAAAGACACTTAATATTTTGTTTTTGGTGTTTGTCTTCATTTTAATCTTACTCTCATCGTTTGATTTTCGTCTTCAATAAATTTATTCGAAAACTTATATATTTGGTAGTATTCTTTTGTATACTTAAAAAGAAACCAAATGTTCTTTTACTTCAAAGATTGTCACCTATTGATATCGTTTTATTTTTTAGTTGAAAATTAAATAAAAAAATGTATAAATTATATCATCAATGGCAACAGTACGTATGAGTAATAAAATTAAGAGCCAATGCTAAGAGCCTTTAATCCATTTTATCCAACTTATCTTGTCATACCCAATGCATACAATAGAAGCGGGTAAGAGCAGGTCCTTATATATATATTTATATTTATTTATATTTTTTACATTGTTTGAAAGAGTTTATCAATTCAAGTGAAACTTTCTTATCTCACCAATTGCAATTGCTTATAAGATTGACCTCAGCTCTCTTTTCGATCAGAGCTTTGTGGGAAGTTCCAATGAGAATTATTTTACTGATAAGAAACAAATCTAGTACGTTTTCAATTACAGCTTCACTTTCAAAAGTTTTCTTGAAGCAAGCACAACATGAAACTGTATCTGCTCGCTTTAATATTAATTTTTGCTCTCTGGAACTCATTTGCAGCGGGGGGTAAGTAACATAAATAATTTTTATTTAATAAATTAATTTAATTACTCAAACATTTTCCAGATTGTTTGACGGATCCCGTGACAATGCTGTGCATTTTGGACCCAAATCAGGGCAAATAAGTTTGTACATATGTACATCCCTCTTCAATAAAGCACAAAAGTATAACACGAAGTGGGCTTCTGTATTCTAAGTAATTCAACAGTCTCCCCAGACTGAGTTACGTGTGGCAAATCGCATTAAACATTCCACGCCCTCCACCTTCCCACTCGCAGACATCTTTTTTATTTGGACTTTGCTACACTGACAGAGGGCATTTGATTTTCCCATCAAAATTGTAACTCAGTAAAGGAACGATGGTTTGAAGTTGATTTTTCATAGGATTTTGCAGCCGCAGAAGCATTTATTTGGTCAAATAAAGAAGTTATAGTTAATGCAGTTCCTCAAAGTCTTTGAAACATGTTTTCTAAAAAATACTTTTTAATTGGATATGAAGTCATTACCATTGAACCTATTTTAGAGAAACTATTTTTACAATTTGAATAATTTTTGTCCTATGTGTTTGTTAAATTAGAGATATATTTTAGATGATTGTTGTTATATTATTAGTACTATCAGATGATTATAATTATTTATCAAATTTATAAGTTTTATTTAAAATTATTTCCAAATGATTTGTTTGCAAAAGTAAGTCTAACATAGGAATTTATAGATTATTATCGAAGATTAACCTACAGAATTGTTATTTTAATTCAAGAAGGGAACACACTTGTTTTGGATTGTGTGTTTAGATGCAATGGTATATTTTGGTTTCCTAAAGATAATGTAATTAAAAGCTTTTTGAAAGATTATCCCAAGAGTAAGGATTTTGATATATTTTAAAAGGGTATTACTAGATTCCGTACCTAAAGTATAGGCCCAAGTATTCAGTATTTTTTGCTGGTTTCTTTTTATTTTGGTGGGAGTTTGTCTGCCCGCTGGCGACCGTGTCAAGATGAATGAACATGGACAAGTTTTTGCCACTTTCCGAGGGGAGAAAGTTCTCTGTGCTGTATCTTGCATCTGAGTCTCGTTTTACGGCTGCTGCTTCCCCCGCCTTCGCTTCTCTCCCATTATATTTTATCCTGTTCCTTTCCCTCTCGTTTCTTTGTGGCGTCTCATTTCAAATACATTAACATTTTGACCTTTCGCAAAAAAGTTCGAGCTGTTGCCGAGGCCGAATTTAATTTCGAGTTGTGTGCAGATTGTGCAAATCACACGCTCTCCAATACCTCCTCCAAATATCACCTGCACTGAGAAAAACAGAACAATTTATTTTGAAATATTAACTTACTCTCATTATACCTTTGAGAAGGCTTTTCGTTGATCCTTTCCAAGAAAATAGGAATATACTAGGAACACAAAGGTACGAATCTATGAAGTGTTTTAAAAAAAGGAGGCATAAACTCGAGGTAATTGTTTGGTTTGGATTTTAACTCAAAGACAAGGATTGTTTTACCGAAAGTAAAATTAAACCGAATTTCTGATTTACTCTAACTCAACGTGTGCTCATTTTTTCAACTCTACATATAAATCTATAAAAATCCTACACATAAAATTTTTGGTAGTGGAATCAACCATCTTTTACATTGAGTTTGCATTCACTTGTGGGTATATAATTCCCAGCTGGTTTTAGCGCTATGCACCAGAACCCACAAGTCGGACACTAAAAATATATGATTTATAATATATATATAATATATATATATTAAAACTTCGGCTTAAATTTTAAAATACAGAGTATGGGCCTTATAATATGTGGTGTTGAATTACTACTACTGAGTATAGGTTTCATATTATTTGGTAATAAATTAATGCTGATTTTTTCTTGAAGCCAGGAGTATTTATTTTAAACTGAAAACTTATTTGTATGTAGTATAGAAATTACACCACATATTAGAATTGTAGACTTTTCGGTATATGTTCTTAGATATTGAATTAATACGTATGCTTTAATACTGTCCATAGTTTCTTTTTAATACACGTTTATTAATATTTTATTAATATTTCACTTTTTTTTTTGGGTGTGCATACCTGCAGGCACAGGATTCTCAGGTAGTCCTAACACACAGGGACACACACTAGTTTGTAGCGTGAACTTTGCTTTCATCAAACTGAAAATTGAATTTACGTAAGCCAAGCGAAAGTCGCACAAAATATAACAAAAAACAAGAAAGGAAAGCTAACTTCGGGCGGAGCCGAAGTTGATATACCCTTGCAGAATACTCTGTAAATTATATTCTCCAAAATTATTCATATGATGCATTCTTAATACTCATAAAAAATCCCAACTTCCTAACTTTAAAAACACCAAAGTTATGGCATTTCCAATCGTTCAGTTATATGGCAGCTATAGGATATAGTCGGCCGATCCATATGAAATTTGGTAGGTCGGATTAACTGGCCAAAAATAAAACCCATAGGAAATCCCAACTTTCTAACATTACAAACACCAAAGTTATGGCATTTCCGATCAATCAGTTATATGGCAGCTATAGGATATAGTCGGCCGATCCTTATGAAATTTGGTAGGTCGGATTGATTGGCCAAATATAAAACCCATAGGAGAGCCCAGCTTCCTAACTTTACAAACACCAAAGTTATGGCATTTCCGATCAATCAGTTATATGGGAGCTATAGGATATAGTTGGCCGATCCCGGCCGTTCCGACATATATACTGCGTGCAAAGGAAAGAAGGGTGTGTGCAAAGTTTCAATTCGATATCTTTAAAACTGAGAGACTAGTTCGCGTAGAAACAGACAGACGGACAGACAGACGGACAGACAGACGGACAGACGGACAGACGGACAGACGGACATGGCTATATCAACTCAGGAGGTGATCCTGATCAAGAATATATATACTTTATAGGGTCGGAGATGTCTCCTTCACTGCGTTGCACACTTTTGACCAAAATTATAATACCCTCTGCAAGGGTATAAAAAGACTGAAATGCGGGAGGAAGGACGAGAAGGCTCTGTAAAACTCGAACGTGTCAAGGTCAAGTTGCCATTGTCCCAGCTCTCCCACCCACCAAAATCCCTGTGTGCGCAACAGGAAAAGCTGCCACCTCTCCCTTTTCCACACCACTCATATGTTTTGTGCAGTTTGAAGTGCGCCAAGTCGTTAAATTAATTTCAGTGCACTCAAAAGCAGGAGCAGCGGAAACTGGAGCACAGCGCTCATTTTAAACGGATTATGTGCACGGCATTGGAGTGGGTGGTGGGTGTGCGGCAGGTGGTGGGGGTGGGTGTTTCGGGGGCAGAGATTACCGGCAAGTGGCCGCGCCAAGTGAAGTGAGGCTGCGTGAGTGGACAGCAAATGAAAGGCAAACAAGTCGAGCGCCATAACACACAACTTTAAGCCGAAGTCAAAGGTTGGGCGGTTTTCCAAAAAGAAAATTCTGGGTGGGAAAACTCAAGTGCCATGGCTGATTTCACTTCAAGCTTTTCAGCTGACACTTAAAAGTCATTTGGCTGGAAAAAAATGGCACAAAATGGAACACTAAGTGAGTTCGAAATATGTGCACACTTAATAGGGAATTATTGGCAGAATCATAGGCGTTTTGCCAATAAATTTAATTTTTAAGTTATACGTCACTTTTTAAATCACATTAAAATGGTTGAACTGGTGTATTTTTTTAATCAACTTAATTTAAATTAATATGTGCCTTTACTAACATCTGTATTTAAGGTTATCTATTTTCAAAAAATGTAACAATGAGCCCAGCAAAATCCACTTATATAACGCATTTCAAAGTTTGATTTATTTATTCCTTATAATATAAACTGATTCAAATTAAAATAAAAAAATTAATTTTTGAAAGTTGTGTGAAAGATGGGGTTTTGTTTTTTATTTTTATTTGCATTTTGTGCTTATTTTTTGGAATGTTGGACAAAAATTATTTCGATATATGATTTAGTTCTAGATATATATTTAATAAAATATATATATATATTTAATATAAATATTGCACAATACATTTTCAAAATGGAAATACTCCCTGTAATACAAAATATTTAAATAAAACGATCGTAAATAAATATAAGCAATATAATTAGCCCCAATATGCGAAGTTTTAAAATTATTCCAGATGTTCAACATCCAATTTAATGTAAAATTATATCCCCAAGGAAATATGTTTTCACTATCGTGATTTGCCAAAGCATGTAAATCATAAAAGGGGAACACAGTTTTGGCCAATAATCCGTTCTGAAATTTATGAGCCTATTGTTTGTTCTTCCGAATTTAAGTGCGGCGATAAGGTTGTCAAGTGTCGACAGTTTTATCAGCCGCCAAAGCAAATGCAATTTAAGTGCATTCGAAAATAAAAACGTGGAGGAGCGTGTAACGCCGAAGGATATGTGCCCATAAACCCAAGCACACGCATGCGAACATACATATGTACATATAAAGTATGCATGCAGATGTATTTCCCACGGAGGATTGGCCTTTGGCGAGCCATAAATCTGCACGCAAAGTGCTTCCGGCCTGCCAGCCAAAAATGGCTGATGATTCTACTTCTTCGGTTGGGGAGCGCTTTAATGACGGCAAAGTGCCGGCCGCAGGTGTTTTTCTTGTGGTAGGGGAAAAGGTGGAAAGAGTGATGGTAAAAGCATCACGCAGAAAGTGATGCAAATGCAACTTCATCTGGCATTGCAGCTGCAACAAGAAATTCGCGGAAACTCTTTCTTTCGGCTGTGTCAACTGATAGGCATTATTTTTACCAATATTCCTCCCTTTAGGCAATTGATTGCAAGAAAACGAACACAGAGAAATAAATAAAATAAAAACTTGACGAGCACTTCATGAATTTTATATGTCACAATATTAAATCAATAAAGTAAAACTTTATTTAAATATTCCATATATATTCCAAATATCCAAATGTTTTCTAAAAAGCCTTCTTTATTCTTATTTTTGATATTTTTGGCTTAGGATATTCTTTTTTTAACAGTAATCGTTTTTTATCTTTCTGTTTTTTGTGTTAAGGCATTTGAATGGGAAATCATTTTAATTTTTCTATTCCCAATATAAAAAATGTGAATAACTCATACTTGTTTGTTGGGTGTTTTTTATAGTTTTTATTGAGTTAACTGGAATTAACAGTATTAAATCTTTAAATTTGAATTGGTATTAAACGTTTTAAGTGGACGAAGCATAACTTGATTTATTAAATTATATATTTTGGTTTAATTTGCATCAGATTTTCTAAGAAATCGATGTCCCTGATTTCTTTCAGTGTGGCCCCTAGACCTGGTTCCTCCTCCGCCGTCGTGTTTCTGCTGTCAGTTGGCGTTGGCGTTGTCAATTTTTTATTGCCCTTTGGCAGATGTGTTTGACTGCTCAGGAATGGAGGTGGCTGGGTCGGGATGCTGTGTATATTGCGCTTTCGAGGTTAGCGGGTCACGTGCCGCTCTCGACCTGCTCCTTCGACATTTGCTGCGACAAAATCAGCGCCGTGGCATCTTCGCCAGCAATTGAATTCAAATGAAGCCGGGCCAAAAAGGCGGCGACGCCCCCGAAGAATAAATGCGATGCCATAAATCAAGCATAAAAATTGACATTAATTTTGCCCACGAGAGAAAACACCAAGCGATAGAGTGCGAAAGAGAGGGGGGATAGCTATAGTGCGGGGGAGCGAGATGAAGCACTGCTTACGTGTGGGGCTTTTCCGAATTCAATTCGCTGGCGAAATCGAGGAAAGCAAAAGCTCTGAGCATCGATCACGCTTGGAATATTCAAGTGACAATCAACCGAAAGGAGCTCATCTGCCCATTACCCATCCTACATTTTTTTCATTTTCCCTCACCTAATCGAATCTCAGGCAGCGAAAACGAAAAAGTTTTCCATTTAATGCGATTGTGTCTGCATTAGTTTTGCGGTTTATTTCGTTTATTGCACTGCGATTTAATGGGAAATTAGCATTTGGAATTAGGCAATTAAAGTTCGCTCTCAACTATGTTTATAACAATGTGTGGTTTTTGCAAAAATAACTAACTAATCAAACCGCAGACACAACGGCGAAAAGTGCTGACCTCAGAAACGTAATTCCGTTTGTGCAGTGAAACGAAATAAAAGCATTTTATTCCTAAATATAGAGTATAGAAAGGGTTTATGTGGGTGTTCCGCTTTTAAGGGGTGTTTTGGGGAGATTCTAGGTACATTAAGTTATCGACTGTTGACAAAAATAACCGGAAACAGGCCGAAATTGATGGCCTAATGTTTGTGTGTATCTCTCTTCTGTCACTCTCCCCATTTTATAGCATACTTTTCAGCGAATTGCTTTGTATTTGCAGGCACTGAAATGTTTACGTGTTTGAGAGCATTCGGACGGAGTTTATGACCATCTGGGGACTTCATCTGGCTTGCACTTCACTCCGGGACCCACAAAAACACTTCATTGCTTTGTCCGGCCTGTCAAATGAATGCTATTTCAGTACAAAATCGGAAAATAGCCACAGTCCACTAAAAGAAACTCGGTTGTCAAAGGTCAAAAGGTAGATAAACCCAGTGGAAGTGCTACAAAAAAATATTATCCTTTTCGCCGTGAATGGATAAAGATCTTTTTGTGCGATTCTCTATGTTAATAAAGGTAATTGCCATGACGACTGTAGCGCTGCTGAAAGCAAAGTCCAGCAAACACACATGTGTACAGTGCAAATTCAATAACATGAAAAAGCATGTTCTGGACGTAAAGAATTAACGATTGCCCCAAAATAAAAATATATATTTTTTATTTTCTTATGGTCGATTCCGAATTATAAGATAAACAACATATCTTGTACACAGAATAACGTATATATGTTAGTACTTGCTTAAATTTCAAATATTATTTTCTCATTTTATTCTTAAGTTAAAACTCTCTTTAACTCGATTTTTCCATGTGACACATTGGCTATTGAGTTAGAGAAGTTCAACTGTATATGTATACCAACTCGAATATCCCGACGTGGACAGATAACAGACGGGTGGAAAAGGCCAAAGTTCTCACGTGACAAGGCGATGTGGGAGGGGAGTCGGGTGAATCCTCGACAGACATGGAATCAACAGTTTACCTGGCTGGGTGCTCCTGCTGTTGCCCCACAGGTTTGGTCTGGCTAAATGGCTTAAAACCCGACCGAAACTGACAACAAATACAGCTGACGATGATGATGATGATGATGGGGAAATAAAAGGGGGCGACAGGAGAAGGCACCATTTTCCAGACAGAGGCGCATGCACAACGGCAATTACTCATGGAAATAGTTTCGGATGAGGTTAGGGGTGGGTGAAAACGGGGTTTTCATGAGTTACGGTTAGAATTTCCGTTGCTGGGGATACGCCCGCACACAGTTTCCCACCCCACACGCCCCCTTTCAGGCCTTTTGTTTATTTGTTTATTCTGCACTCCGTTTGCTCAAAATCAAAATTCCTGTTGCTGAAGCGCTTGTTTTGCTGTTGATTTTCCACAGGCCAAAGAGGAGCCGTTAGGGGGAGAAAACGACTGAATTCGGGGGAAATTGTGGCTATCAATACCAGCGACATAATTTGCATCGAGCTCGCTTTTCCTCGTTTCTCGTCACTTTTGGACATGCCAGCATTAGCAATGCGAAACAAAGCTCAAAATGTAAACGTATTCGAATATGGCTGATGCCGATTGTGATGCTTATGCTGCTGTTTTGTGCCATGCATTCCTGCTGTTCTTGGCATCCTCGAGGCCACAGGACAATCAGCATGCATGATTTAACATTTCCCCAAAACAAACATCCAAAATGCCATAACACACTTTGAGGACTGTTCCATTGCTCGAAATCGCTTAAATCTTTTTAAATTACGGTCAAATAAATGAAGTGAGTTATTGTTTTGTGAATATACTTAATATCACTTTATAGACATTTCATATTTTCATTATTGTTTGTATTTTTATTAATAAGCAATTGTCTTTGTTTTCACAAATTCAGCTCTTAAGAAATTTATGAAAAAATGTTTTCATCGATCTAAGACAATTTCGAAATTAATTTATTAAAAGCCTTTGTATATGACATTTATGTTTACATTCAAATTAAATATTTTATTTAATACTCGATTGTCTTCAAATTGTTGAAAGATATCACTATGGTAATGTGTATGTGTATTCTTAGACAAAATAAATAGATTGCATTTAATTTTTAGAGAAAGGCGAATGTGAAAGAAGGAATGGGTTTTCCTGTCAGAAACCATATGCAGCTGTATGTTTGCAAAATGTGAATGCAGAAAAGGCAAGCCGCTGCACATAACTAACTGGGGACTTGAATTCAGTTTTGGGGCATATTTTGCGCCAATTTCCATACAAATCTCTCGCACACGCGGGCTTCTCACTCACTTACACTGCCAACTGTCGATCGTAAATGGAAAACAGTTTGCATAGTTTCTCCCCAAAAACTAAACCCACGAAACTCCGTATGAATGGAACCAAACAAAACAAAACAAAGCAAGGCCCACAAGAAAAACAAAGGCCCACGCATGCAATAAAGAAAAACAAAAGCCCGAAAAGGTGGCAGCAACAACAACTATGGAAGGAGCAACAATAAAAACAAATTCCAACTGAGGCTGAGAGCTAGGAGAAAATTAAAAAGTAAACACAAAAATTCACGTGCTCCGCATGCGATAACAGTAGAGGTTGCCAAGGGGGGGCGGAAGCAGTGGGAGCGAGGGTGAGAGTGACTTGGTTGTGCGGCTGCGCTGTGAGCGTAGATAGTGGGAGCAAGCGAGTGGAGCAAAGGGCGCATGATCAAGGAATTGGAATTTTTACGCTGTGGGGGAATTTCTCTCATGCAAAAATTTTGTTTACCGCTATGATGACGTATGCCGTAGGAGACCGCAAGGCATATCGGGATTATCCAAATTACAATTTCATCAACTATCAAAAAATAATTGTCAATAAAACTATTTTCACGTAAAACTACTTTTTGTTGAAGAAGTTTGAGTTCTTTTTTCAGTTTATTAATTTTCTAATCAAAAAATTCTGAAAATGGTATGCAATAATGTTATTAATTGGAAAATTAGTCAAAAAAATCTCTAAAAGTTTGAAATCGCCTTTGAAGTGCGGTGTTCTTTTTAAATAGCATACTCTCGGACTCCTGTGTACATGGCTTCCAAATCTCTGGAGATTACAGTGGCAGAGCGGTAGGTACTTTGCAGATCCTGTTGGCCCACAGCATCAACTCCCCTTCCCCTTTCCCAACCCCTCTCACACTTTACACCTGGCTGCGGGAGTTTACTTTGCATAGAGATGAGAGTTGAACCTCCTCACTTGCAACGTGCGTATTATTTATGCGTAGACATTGTGGCGCCGGGAAAGAGATAGAGACTAATTCCAAGAGAAAAGCACTAATGAGAGAGAGAGCACATTAATGGGGAGAGTCTTTTGCATAAATACGCGAGAGTGGCGCTTGGATCCTTTAGAAGTTCGTGAAGCTTCGAGGAGAGCGGACGTGCGCTGCTGCTCCTGCGAAACCCTCGCTCTCGGGCAGCTATATTCTACCAACATATGGCCAACACACTCACACACACGGTTACACACGCACACCTGTACACCTAGCGCGCGCGCAAATCGCCGAAATTAAAACAAAGCAAATCGGAAAATGCTTAAATGTCCACGTGAAACGGTGCACAAAATAATCGAGTAACGAAAACAAATCGAATCAGTGAAATTAAAGTGGAGTTATTGTTTTTTGGAAAAAATCAATGCCGTTAACCAACGCACACGGATACACATAAACGCACACGTGTGCTCTAAAAGCCAAAACACACCAATACAACCAGACACACACACATACACCCGCAAACAGAAGGCCTAACAGAGTGAAAGTAACGGAATTAGCAGCACAATTGTGAGTGAAAGTAGAGTGCATAAAAATAGAAGAAGAAGGGGAGAAGGAAATACGAAGATTTAAGGAAGAAGCCTTAATGAATGCAAATCACACTTGGCGACTTTGCAGAGTTGGGCGCTAAATTCTTTAATCTCTCCGGCTCTTATTCTTTTTCTTACCCTTCTTCTCATTTATATGCATGTGTGTGTGCGTGTTTAAGTTGGTCATAGTTTAGACAAAAACAATAAACCAAAAAGGAGGACTAAAAAAGCATGCAACAAAAACAAGCGGCAACAGCAGCCGCCAACGCAGAAGCTACCTGAGCAAGATAAACACGCAAAACAAAGCGAACTGGGTCAGTAAGCAAAAGGCGGAGGAAGGAGAGAGGAGGAGGAAGAGGATAAAGGAAAAGGAGCAGGTAGAGCGGCCAGAATGTTGCATGTGCTGCAACCAAATGTGTAGCATACTTAATGGTAAGTCACTCAACACACGAAAATCCTTGCATTCCTAAAGCCACGCATATTTAACCTTGAAAATAACTTAAACCTAAAAGGGGGAGGGGGTGTGTGTGTAAAAGAGATGCATGGCAAGGGGGGGTTTAGGTCCGCTCAAGGATATGCGCTGCGAGTCGAAAAGTAAATGTCGAAATGCCGAAAGGGGCAATAACAAAAGGACGGCAGCAGTAGAAGCAACAGCAAAAAGAAGCGGGAAACGGAATAACAGTAAAATTAAATATCCTTGTGAATGTTGCGCTTGCAGGCGTCATTCCTCCCCGAACCCATGCCCACCACACTCCTTTCCGCCCCCTTTAGCAACCTAATGTTCATCCACACCAAGGCAAAAGAATTTTCTTTTATCCATGCAGAGTAAAATGTTTGAATACTTTCTTAATTCACACAATTCCCAAAAAAAAATTAAATAAAAGAAATAATTGCCGTATTGTTTGGACTTCAAATCGTAGCTACAATCTCAAAGGTTTTTTTTAAGTGTAGACCATTTTTGTTGTCCTCATAATAAGCTAAAAAAGAGTTTAAACTGAGAAACGGTCCTTATTATTATTACGATACAAAAATTATATTTGAAAACACAATTAATATTGGTTTGTTTTTGATAAGATACAAACTGGTTTTAATCTTTATTGGGGTATTTTTCTTCAGTGCAGAGCCCGCGTCCAGAGTCCTTCTGCGTTTGTGTGTTTAGCCTGCTGGTGTGCTTGTGTGCGCCTGATGTGGGTCATAAATGTTACTCCATTTTTACGACCAGCTTGCACACGACGATGGCGCTGGAGCAGAGCAGAGCAAAAAGCGAAAAGCAAAATGAAAGAGCTGCCAGCATAAGCAAATGGCAAGGATATGGCGGGAATAAGCCCGAATAGACCAAACTGAGGAAAAAGGCAAGGAAAAGGGACATAAAATGGCCAGCGATGTCGAGGGCAGCTCCAAACATTAAGCCAAACAAATACATATAAATATTCATTAGGGTCCCCATTCAGATTTGGTTTTTTTTTAGTCCCTTAGTCTTTACCAAATTTACCAAAAATTGGAATTAATGTTATTAGCCGGCATTAGGCTTTCGCTGAGAAAAAATAACTTTAAAATAAAAATTCGATCAGCACCAGTCTTTCCTTTCGTATTGCTAGAAAAAATAGGCAAACTTCGATGAGCTTTGCTGGAAAATAATGCAATTGCGTGTTCGTGCTGTAGTTGAAATGGCATGTTGCAATGCTTACTGCACTTGTAAGTGCAATTTCAGTTGCAGCTGCTGCTCTAGTGGCAATTAGCAGGGTGTCTCGGCGACATTTACAGCGGTCGCCGGTTTATATAATAGTCGTGTCAGCCTTTATGGCCCGCAACTGTTCCATTTGCGGTAGGCATCGCGTGACCTTGAGTGGGTGGAAGTGGGGCTGGGTGGGTGGCATGCAAATCCATTGAAAGCGCACGGCTGCAGTTCAAGGCTATTTTTACGTTACGCAAGCAACTGCAAACACAGATACACACCAACATCCAGTGTGTATATGTGTGTGTTTGCGTATCCTTGAGCGTCAGTTGAGCGCCGGGCATGTTGCATGCGTTGTCGCTGTCGCGTTGACATTTTCCCCATTTTCCACACTGCCACTAAGGTCCTGTTCCCTTTCTATACGTCCCAAGTCATACAATATACATATATGATTAGGTACCTATATAACATATTTTGTATATAGCTGGCTTATGCAATCGTTGGCAATTTTTTCTCTTTCTTTTCATTTTCGCTTCCTTCTCTTTGTTTCCCCTAATTAACTGAACTTAGGTTATGCAATCACAGCAAAAGCTTCAATCCTTCTATAGTATATGCAAGAGGGCAGTTTAATAATGCTTCATATTAATTATTGACAGCACTATCAGTTGAAAGCCAAGTTAGCTCCAATTTCAGAATTCTGCTTATAAATCTTCTGCGCAATAAATCACTAAACTTTTCAAAAACACACATAAACCACTGATGAATATTTTCAAATTTGAAATTTAAGATTCAAATAGTTTTGGGTTTCTTGTTCTAAATGTTGTTTGACAAACTTTCATCAATTAAATTTCTATTCAAAAAAAAAAAAGAAGCAAATACCTAAAGTTTTAAAAATGCAGGCAATAATTAAAATACTACAATATTGAGTATGAACCCGTGATAATCTTCTGTCAAAGGGCTTCACTGTTTGCAAAACGTATACGCAATATTCCGTTGAATGCAATATGTTGTTGGGACTTATACCGTATGTAACTTTCTGCTCCATTCCACCCCATTAAGCTTTCCCTTGCCTTTGCCTCAATGTCATTGCATATTTGAGAAGGTTTGTTTAATCGAAACGCGGACGACTCAAAGCTTATATATATATAATATATATGTGGGGGACTACAGGCGCTGGGGGCGTGGCATGTGTGCGTGTTAACCTCCGACAGTCTCTGGCCCTGAAATATGACATAAGTGCAGGAACTAGCTGTTACGCCTTATAACTGTTATCGCAATGGATAGTCATTGAAGTCGCGCCCACAAACTAATCAGTTAAGCAGAATGACAGTGCCTAGCTATCGCATTATCCTTACTTCCACCTGTCTAGCCATAGTTTTTTGCTGTATATTTCTCATTAGGAGCAGTCTGAAGAGAAGTAGCACTTAACATTTGCTGCACGAAGGCTAAAAGGGATCAGGTCCCGCGGGTTCGTTAATTTCATTAAAAAGTTGTGCATCGAAAAACTTGCTAATTGCGGCCAACAGCAAACTAAACATAAAACCAAAAAAAAAACTCGTAACAAAAATGTATTTAATATGTAAAAGCAAACAAACTAGGTTATTATTAGTTATTTGCTTTACAGGTACTTTCAAAATGATGAGTTGTACGTAATTTAATGAATAAAGTCGGCCAAATAGATCAATTTATAATGCATAAAGTCGGACACAATTACTCAGCAAATAGAAGCATTTATCAATACTTAATGGTAATGGCACGCAACTCTCATTTGCCTGGGACTTTGTCAATATTTTCGCTGGAGTTAAGGTCAGGAATTGGATTTGAATGTAATTTGAGACTTGACTTGTGTTTACGGCGGCTATAAATGCAAATCAACGGAACTGGGCAAACTGCACAAATGCCGCAACATAAACTTGGCCACGAAACAAATCGCGGCAAGGAACAGGAAGGCGAAAGCAACTAAAAACAATTTGCCGTAATCAAAACGAAATCAGCAAAGCGCAAGCCGCAGCGTCGCAGCGGAAAGTGGAGCAGCTATGGCCGGAAAAGCCTGGGAAAATTCCAGATGAAAATCGAGCCTTTGATGCCCTACAAAAGAGGTCATTGCCAAAATTAAGATTAAATCGAATATTTTACGATGAGGAAAATTGGTATTTAACCATAAATCTCAGATTTATTACCAAAGTGTCACAAAAATGTCGAAATGAATTAAGTAAATAAAACTAGATATGGGGTTATAAAAAAAATTCATTTACCCAGAAAAGATAAAACAAAAATGAAAATCTGTTATAAAAAACAGATGCATAAAAACTGACACGCATTTTTTAATATATAATCTTGATATGATTAAAAGATATGTATACGTAAATTTGTATAATTAGTCCTACATATTCAGATTGGCCTTTGGGTGATATTTTTTTTTTTGCTGATCCGATATGGATAGACAGATGTGCCTTGTTTGGAAATTTAATGTTCGAGTCTTCCACTAGCAAGAAAAAGTTGTTTCAGAGCAAACCTTTTAAGGCCAATGACGGTCAAATGAGTGGTAGTTTTGTCAAAACCATAACCAGGTTAATAAAGCTTAACTAACTATAGGAACTAAAAATTGTTTCAGAAAAATTCGCAAGTATTGGCTATAAGAACAAAATGTTAAATCCAGAATAGTGCTGTTTGATTGATTACATTTATTCTCATTTGTTTATGGGAAAGCAGATTTTAGAAAGGATTTTATTGGAGTCAAATAAAATGTTGTCAAGAAAGTTCTATGTACCCACAAAACATTTCTGTTCTTATTAACTTCCCTCTACAATTAAAAAAAATTTAATATATTTGAATTAAAATAAGTTTCAAGAGGTTAGACAAAGCTATCTATCGTCCAAATTTAGCATGTTAAATGTGGGGTACCCCCATCTAGTTAGAGTAACCTTTTGCAAAAATCATGAGAGCGGGTGGCGCTGTTTTCCAGGCAAAAGTCAACAGACAGGCACGGCTGCGTCCATTCAGGTACTCTGGTATTCCGGTTCTGGCCAAGAGGCAAAAACCCGGGGAGTCGTCATTATATATTTGTTGTCACTTGAAAAATATTTGTGCTTTGCGCTTGATTTATGCTTTAGTCATGGTGGGGAAACGGGTGAAAAATGGGGTGGGATGTAGGGGGATATAGTTGCAAATGGCAAACAATGCGGGAGCTGTGAGCGTGGAACTGGCGGATTGTCGAGAGTCAAACTGAGAACTGAAAACTGGACTCTTGCGGTCGGGATATGCAAATGTTGGACGGGCAAAAAGTTAATAGAATCGGCTGCCAGGACCACAGAACCATCCAATGCAGGTGTAGCTATCTAGCTATATTCCCCATTGACTCCGGCTAAATGTATCCAGTTGGGAGGTGGGGTTTTTAGGGGGAATGGGGAAAAGTAGGGATGCTTTTCCAGTTCTGTTGTCACTGGCAGTCGAATGTTTGCATAACGCAACAAAGGCCAAAACAAAAGCTGCCACAAAAAGGGTTCAACATAAATATTTTCACCCGGAACGAGCCAAAAGAAAATCGCATTGATGGCAAACACGCACACAAAAGGCAAAAAGGGAAAAGGTTTCTGTGCCGAATTAACAATTCAATTTAAACGGACCGGGGGAAAACCGCTTGACATCTATTTTCCAACGTGGAGGTGGGTGTGCGGGTACTTTGACACAGAACTGAAGCCATGGGACGGGTTCAAAGGTTGACGCACACACTTGGCAATGACAATCGTTTGTTTTG